GGCTCTACGTGGTCCAGAAGGCCGATCATAGGTTCCATGCTGATTAGGACGGTTAGTTTGGAAAACGGGTATTGCAGTAGATGCTTGTGGCATGGTATGGCCTTGATGCCTCTGTGTGGCATGATCTAATCTAGCGACCCAGTCTGTTCAGGAATGTTGGCATGGCCCCGAAGGTAGCTTTGCACGTCGTCTCTCCCATTGGGGTGGGTGACAATAGGCGGGCAGCTCCACGGTGATGGAGCTCTTCCCTCCTCAAGGATACAGATGCCAACCAGGTGTGGTGCTGCTGCTGTCTGCTTCCATCAAAGAAGCCAGGTTGGCTTTGTGTGAGGCACTTTGGAACACCGCTTGTAAGGAGGGAAGAAAGAAGAACTTGAAAGCAGCCGCCTCCCTCCAAACAAAGCGGTCTGGGCTGCCCCGTCAGATCACTTACAGACTTCAAACAAAGCCTTGACTTGACTGGCAGCCTCAGAGATAAGCCTGGAAACCTGAGTCTGCCGGTGTTTCACATGGTTATATATCAAGTAAATGGGTGGGAGAAGCAGGGTCCCTGCTGAGCTTACATGGTCTTATCAATGCCAGTGTTTAAAAAGAAGAAAAAACAAACCAAAGGAAGCTTCAAGAGATTTTGGAACAAAAAGGCTCAATTTGATCTTTAAAACATCTCTGAACTGAGAGGGAAGGAAAACCAAAGCAAAGATCTCTAGCAAACAGAGCGAAGGCAAGGTGAAGACCACCAGCCCTGGGAGAAGGGTGGAGGGAGAGGGGCCGGGAAGGCTCCATCCTTTGCCTGCTGCTCCCCAGATGATACAGGGCAGGATGTGCCCCTTCACTGCCTTAGCATCTCCTGAAAACTCTTCCTGGTGCACAGCCAGTAAAAACCAGAGAAGCATTTTGGGGTGATTCTGAAATGGATGCCGGGTAGTTTCCTGCTTAAACCTGGCCTGGCTCACTCTCCGCTCATCAGAGGGAGAGTTGCACTGCCCCCGTTTCATAATGCTTCCCCGAACACCGTGTTTGTTCCTCTGGATGCACTCGATGTTTACTGCTTTACAGTAATGTAATTGCAAGTTTGTTTCTCTGGGCATGTTGGCAGAGCTGAGTCACTAAAGTGGAACTTTTCATACATGTCAGGTCAAATGTCGCCCTTCCTCTGAACAGCAAAGCCAGGTATTTGTCTTGCTGGGTGTTTGTCTTCTGTGCCCCTGGCCCAGTGAGGGGCTTAAATGCCCTCCTTTAAGTATCAGATGCTGCAGAGTTGAAAAATTCTTGCCTAGAGTTGTGGCACTGCAAGTATAATTTGGACTCGCCCACCTAGGAGGTTGCAAGGAAGCCAGCTATCACTGTGCCGTAAAATTCGGACCGAGGCTAGTCCCGACAGAAGATCAGTCAGCCTCTGCATCTCTCACGCAACCACTGAGCATATTTTAGGTGTTAAATCGGCAGCTGCAACCTGCCTGCCTTGTTCTGCTCTCCATGGATAGTTGCAGGACAGCAGGAGGTTTGGGGGCTTCAAGGATGTCCAGGAGCTCTGGAATGAGACGGTCACAGCTGAGGAGACTTAAAGACGGATCCCAAAGAGGAGTTCTGAGTGGACTTGGTGGTGCAGGGGCCAATCTCCCGAGCCGTTGCAAGAAACGTGCCATGGCCTGCCTAACCATGGAGCCTTCAAATGCCGGGGAGTTGAGGAAAAATGCCCCGAGCTCCAGCAGCCGCTCAGAGGACCAACACATGGCACCCTCTGGTGTGTCTGAGGGTACCTGGGTGTACACGTTCACGCCGAGGGAACCTTTCCTTGGTGGGGTTTTAGGGCTGTACGTTTCAGTTGGTGGCGTGGTTCAGGTCCCTGGGGTGAGAGTCGAGGGGCTTGCTTGCCCAAGGCTCTCTTGGTCCCAGGGTTTTCGTGCATTGGGGAATAGGGAAGAGCACACGGGGTGGATGTAAATATGTGTGGTGGTTTGGGGGGATCATTTTTAACTTCACTCGGTTACCCACGAAGTCTGCTAAAAGGCCGGTCATCAGCTAAAGATGCTTTAATTGGGCAGTGGCCTTCCTGCCCGCATCTGCAGTGCCTCACTGTGTCTGACTCAGTCTTCACGGGAGAAGGCAGAGGAGTCTCCCTGGGTGCAATGAAAAGGGAAGGACAACACACACACACACACACACACTCTCTTATGTAGGTGCTCACGTTCCTTAACCTCTGGTGCGGATAGCAATGTCATCTAAGTCATGTGCAAGAGCTATTCTTAGTAGTTAACTGTGCATACCGTTTTTTTCTCCTTGGAAGCGAATGCTGCACTTCCCACTAGTGGTGAAAACTGGGAACTTTTAGCGTCCTGATTGTTTATCCCAATTGTACTGTCGCTGAGTCCTCTTCTTTGGTTTCCGTTGCAGCTTTTCTCTCATAGCACGCAAAGTGTGTGTAGCTAATTGCATCTTCAGTATAAAACTTCACTTTGAAACTCTTCCCACATCCTTGTGAACAAATGAATGTGAGTTTATTGCACTGGGGCACATGCTGAACACCTTCATATAATTAAAGCAATTTTATTGCTGTAATTCGTGCTGAGGTGTACATTTAATTTCCCCAACTAATACAGGGTGGGGGAGAGAATCAGCATTTAGTTCCAAACAAAACGGAGTCAAGATTGAACCATTGCGGGTGATCTGCTGGAGAAAACAGGCCTTCGTAATGGGTTTCATTAATGCACTTGCCCCCAGCAAAAAGTCCCTGCGATAAACCTGTTTGCTTCAGCGCATCCTCACCAGACAAGTTGGGAGGAAATTGGCACGAGCACTTTGAATGCCTTTCAAGTGCAGGGCGCACAAATTGAATCCTTGCTTTTTCAAATCTTTTCCCCTGCAGGCGACCTAAATTTATTCAAAGCTGAGCTGCAGATGCACAGCTGATGTGCTAACTAGGGATGCTGGGCAAGCAGTCTTGTTCCAGCCACTTGCTGTTCTTTCGCCGGTGCCCCAGCAGCTGCGAAGGAGTGAGGCAAGTGGGGGAAAGAGGGCCCCTTGCCACTCTTGGAGGCCCAGCAAAGGCCCACGCTTGCTGCTGGAAATGCCCTTGATCGTGGTGGGTTAGCGGAGGAAAAGGAGCCGCGGGAAGCCAGAATGGCAGTGACCAATCGTTCCGTGAGTGAGATGCGTGCGAATGACATGGTCCACGTTTGTTCTGTGTGCACATGTGCTCCCGAGGTACAGAACAAAGTGCAGGCTTACGTCTTCTAGTAAGTTCTCCGGTATCTGCATTTCGGTACTTGTGGGTGTGCACAATAGACCAGCGCGTGACATAAAATGAGTGATTTCAATGCCTCCTTTGGTAAGAGCGTCTACAAAGCAAGAGACCCGCCCGCAAGAAGTCCCCGGAGTGATGCACCAACGCTTGCTCCGTTGCCTGGTGCAGGCCACTCTCACCCCCCTTCCCTTTCACCGCGCTCCTCATAAACATTGTCCAAAGTTTCCTTGCTGGCTTCCTGTTTTCTTCATTTTAGCATGATCCTAATTGTCAGATGTCAAAAGGCACCTATCCTTTTCTTGGTGGCTTATCTCCCGATAACACCAGTGCTGAAACAAAGGATGCAGGCTTCCATTTTGCAAACAAAGGAAATGTGGCCCAGTTTTGAGTATGCTAACTATATAATGCGCATAGTCCTCTTTGCCAGTAATAACAACGTGTCATCAATAACGTAAAATAGCTCTGGAGGTTAAAGTAGATTATGAGACAGATGGTGGCGAAGAAACAGACAATATAATTTCCTCCCTTGTTGGGCTCTTTTATAGACTGTCATTTTTCTTACTTTCCAGAGCATTCCCCCAGCCCAGCACCAAGATTTGCGGGGGTGGGTAGTGTCCTCAGACCAGGAAACTTCAGGGGTTTTCGCTTGAACAGGAATGGGCTCGGACTTTTCTGCATTCCCCATGGAAAGGCAGGGTGGTGGTGTGGCAGCAGTCCCTTTGCCAGCTTGGGAACCCCAAGGGAGGCCCAGCCGCACCACCGGGGGGAGCCAGCCGTGGTTAATTCCCAGTGAAAGCCCCGTACCTGGTATAATTGTGAACAGCTGTTGCTGCCTGTAGAAGGAATCAGAAGCAGAGCTGCACAAGCCGTTCATACCATCGCGATGTCTCCTCCTCCCACCAAGGAGCATGTTCACCAGGGGTCGCACCTTTGCTGCCCTTGCTGTAATTTGGCTAATCGTAGGGGTGCCACCTCATGCCATTCTGTGTGTGCAAAAGGTCCGAACACGGCACAAAGTGCTCTGATGACTACCGTGTCTATTTGGGGTTTCAGATTCCTTCCCTCCCAAATCCATGACAACCTGGGTTAGATAAACATGAGAGCATGGGGTAAATTGGTTTCTCCTTTTACGCCTAAAGGGCTTTTGATCGTTTCAAGGTTTTGATCGTTTCAAGGTTATTTCAGCTTTGCAAATGACCAGAAAACTTATGAGCTGATTGTAATTTTTCTACCTTGCCCAATTAAATATACGCCTAGGGAAAGCCCGAGAGTGAGCTGGTCAGGTGAATGACTGTCAACAAGCATTCAGCATAGGAAGTCCTTTAATGTGATTATCCAAACAGCCGGCTCTCTTTTCTTAAAACAGCATCTCTGCCGCCTCCTCGAAAGGCGCTCCCTTGCTCAGCTTGAACACACGATGCCAAACCATGATTAAAGGAGCTTAACTCTGCTTGCCATTGGTGTGATACCTGAATTGACAAACTGTACTTACGGCTGTTGAGCTCTGTTGAGCCAGGAGTACTGTGCAAAGGAAAACAAAAGCAGAGAAGCCGCTCTGAAGCACAGACGTTTGGGATCCCAACTGCAGTTTGTGCTTTAAAACCTGGCTGGCTGCAAACCACATCTGGCTTGGTGTGATGTACTAAGTCCCTGTGCCGTTCCTGGTCCCATTTTAAAAAATCTGTGAGTGGCAGGTCAAGAAGTCACTGTGGCGGTCTTCCAAGCAGAACTGAAAGAGATCTTTTTCCTTTGACAGGATCAGACGCCTGGGATTGTTCCTAGACTTCAGGAGCCGGGAGCTGTCCCGAATGCAGGTTCGGTGCCTGCCCCAGCCCCAGCCATGGTCAATGGATATACCATGAGGAACCATCTCTTAAAGCAGCAGATAATGAGGCGACAACAGCAGCAGCTGCAGGTTGGTCTCTTTGCTTCTGCAGGGAACAGCTTGTAGGCTGTGATTTTAGGTCCTTGATGGACCTTCGATCACTAGGCTGGTATCCCTGGTTTAGTTCAACAGTTGTGGTGCTTGATTAAAACTCTTGCAACAGGCACCACTTCTTGGAAGTGACCCCTTTCTTCCACTTGGTCTCCTTCCCTTGTAGCCAGTCCTAGTGTGGATAAAATGTTTTATTGACCATACTGGTATAGAGCAGAGAGAAGGAAGAGGCCAAAGGGAAAAGACCGGTTGGGGGTCCAGAGAGAGGAACAGGATTTTGCACCCCAGATTGCTGGGAACACACAGGGCTATTGGAAGTACAGAATCTGCTACGGTTTGAGGAGTTGGAAGTTCGTAAGGGCCTGGAACTGCAAAACTCTCTCCCCGATGCTGACTGGAACAAGGTGATGCACTTGATTGACATGGTCCCAAGGAAGGCAAGCAGCCGTCATCTTGTGGATCCCCCTGGGAATACCCCATGCAGAAAACTCAGTGCATGGTGTGGTTTTTTTGACCAGAAAAGCCTGATGCAGATTAAGTGGTTCTAGTGAAGCCCACTTCCCTATTTATTTGCTTATTTCATGCCACCTTTAAAAAATTCTGGCTTTTCAAGTTTACGATTTGGGCCATACCATTCACTATATTTAATTAATTTCACATACTTGCTTTGATTCTTATATACTGCTCCATTCCCATAGGCTGCGGGTGGTTTACAAAACATTAAAACCGACAGCAGTTAAAATTTTGACTAGAAATGAACATATTAAATAAAACTGGGAACTAGTAGGGTAGTCTGGGAACTAATAGACTGGGACTAACCCTGAGCAAAGGAGGTACACCTTTAACTCCCCTTGAAAGTCGTAATCTGGGCTTTCAGGTGCATCCTGCCCTGCAGACCAGTCCACAGTTTAGGGGCAACCACCGAGAAAGTCCTCTGGTTGTTGCCATTCATCTTGCAGAAGAAAAATATCTGTTTTTTGAATATATAATTTTGCAGAATGTATTGCAGTGATCGGCAACCTGACCTTTGGAAAATGTGTCCTGCCCCCCCCCCCCCCCCGTGCTTTCTGAACTGGAGTGTCAGCAGGGATAATAGAGAGGGGGGCTCTTCTTGGGCTCCCCAGTGCTCGTCACCCATGCCCAGCCCTGCCCCGTGAGAACGTCTGAGTGGGGCTGCTTGATGGGACTGGTTCTCTTTGCCTCCTAGGAGAAGCAGAGGCACAGCATGATGGGAGTGGCCACAGAGCAAAGAGGGCCGTTCGTGGGCCAGCAGATGAATCAGTTTCCAGGTAAGGAATGGGGGTGGGGGGGGATTCTGAACCTGCGAGTGCTGTTCCTCGGTCAGGGATCTCAAGGAAGCACCCATGAGAAATGACTCTCTTCTGTTCTGCTCACAAATCCAAGCAGGCCCTCCGCAACTGGGCTGCTTACGCGACTCTGTTCCGTATAGAAATGGGGCACGAGGGGGAAGGTCTGGAAGGAAGTAGCCACACGCCAGAGCCTCAGTGCTAGGTCCTCATGTTCAGATGCTGACAGTCACTGAACTGTGCATTCTGCAGCTTTGCCCCCATGGCCCTCCGGCAAGACAAAACCCAGTTTGTATAACTCAGTTTGCAAAGCAGAGCTGGAAAGTGGAAATAGTTGACACCGAGGCTTCAAATGTTGAATCAGAGATTTAAAATAAAATGGGAAACTCTGATATACCAACGGTGAATAAATTTTCACTTAACAGTTGATTTTTTTAAAAAATGGTGAGGATTAATACTTTTTAAAAAAACCCTGGCACCCAGCAGAGAGTCAAGTTTGACTTTTGAACATCCTAGTTATTCTTCGAAGGGGGAAGTGGTAGTGCAACAGCTTAACAATGATGGGACTGTTGGCCAGAAATGGCTGGCACTCTGGCAGTTCAAGCCCAGCCTCCACCAGACAGAGTGATCTCCCACCGTTTGCTCCTAGCCAGCCTGGCAGTTCGGAAGCATGCCATGTGAGCAGATAAATAGGTACCACCTCGGCAGGAAGGTTAGAGCACTTAGTGTCATCACGCTGGCCCATGACTGTGGGATCATCTTCAGACAGTGCTGGCTCACGGCCTCAGAAGCGGAGATGAGCACCACCCCTGTTCGCCATTGGCGAAGCATAATAAAATCTGCAAGGACTCCTCTACCTTTAGTTATTCTTATACATTTTCACTGACGGAGTGCTAAGTGTTCTAGTCAGGTCTAATCCCTGATGTGCTTGTCTTCTATGTGCAAAAAATCTTTCCCCCAACCCCAGAGAATGGTGCAAGAGTTCAAGCATTGGTTCCCCTGCCCCGCCTGCACCTGAAGTGGTACAGTCCAGCAAGGGTGGCACGGTGTGCTCTCTGCTGATCATGTGATTTTGGCAGGGTTACTTCTGGAAGAGAAGAGCTTTGTCTGTTGAGCAGAGAGAGAAACTATCTCGGGCCTATGGCAATGCTTAAAAGTGGAATCCAGAACCGTTCTCTTTATTTGCACAATGCATCGTGCTCAAAGAATTCAGGGAGGCGCACAGCTCTGCTGTCAAACAGTTGCTCATTTCACATCTTCCTTGTCTCCATACAGCGGTTTCGCAGCCCATGACAACCGATTGCGGGCAGCCGATGCAGGCTCCTTCTCCCAGCCACCGCATGATGCCATCAGCCCAGGGAATCCTGCAGAACGCTCTGGGCTCCGGGATCGCCTCGGCCGCCGTGAGCCAGAACAGTGGGGCGATGGTGATGGTGTCCCACAACCCCAGCAAGCAGCCGGGCATGTTCCCGCCGAACTCCGATTTCAGTCTTCCACTGCGCCCGAGCCAGACTGCCCTGGGCATGAATTCCGGCTGCCAGACGGTCCACAGCCACCCCGCAGTCCGGCCAAGCATGGCGCTGTCGGGTTTTGCTGCTGGGTCCTTGGTGAATCATACTTCGGCCCAGCAACACTTGAGACAGTCGGCGATGCCCAGAATTCCCAACGTCTACGCCAACCCGTCTGCTCAGATGTGGACGCCGACGGGAGTCCCTCGGATGCCTGGTCAAGGTCAGATGGATGCCAGCTTGCAGCCGTTCTCCGGTAACCCTCTCTTTTCCAAACAGAACACAAGGCCGACTCTCCCCGGCCAGCCCTTTTCCCACCAGCCTGTGGTGCCGCCCAACCAGATCGCTCCTGGTGTCCAGGCCAGGCCGATGCAGAAGGTCAGCCTGGGGCAGCCCGGCCACGGCATGGACTCCCTGAATAACCAGACCCTGCGCCACAATTTAACCAGGGGACCTTTGCCGGCTGCCATGGGCGTCATGAAAGCGATGCCGCAAGGCCTGCCTGGTTTTAGCCCGCTCAGTCCGGCCCAGACGGTTGGCCCGCCAAGTTATCCCGGCTCTGCCAGCCAGTTGCCAGGATCATTCAACAGACTGACCACTGCCTCCGAACTGCCGCCGCAGTATGACTTTGCAGCCCAGCAAAACAATTCTCTTTTGCCCGGAAACTGCAGCGAAGCTGATTTCATCGACTCCCTTATGAAGAACAGTGGCAGCACTGACGAAGACTGGCTAAATAATTTGACAATGATAGATGACATTTTGGGGCAGCACGTTCAAAGCTCTGGACACGTGTAATCGTTGTGGGAAGTGAGGGATCTGTACATAATTTCAGTGGGACTTGGAACGGAAAACATTTACACACACGCACACAAATGCTCCCCATTTTTCAGCACCAAAAGAATGAGCTTGTCCAACTAATGCTTCACTTTCCACCCAGATTTTTCAAATGGCTATGTATATATTTGAATATTTTGTAAATTATGTTTTCCTAAACATTAAATATGGAAGTATTTATACTTCTTTGCTGGACTCTTTGTAAATAACGTATAGGCTACTCTGCTGTCTTTCTTTTTTCTTATATAATAGGAACTGAATTCCAACTTGTTCTAAATATGCAAATATTATTGTTAGTTTGAGTAATACTGTGTATTACAGCATCAAATATTTTATGTTTTTGACATAACATATGAACTAGAGGTGTCCTGGCAAATGGAGTAAACAGGAAGCCAAGTTTATACTATTCCTCACCTGCCCACTCTTCCTCCCTGACTCTTCTCCAGCACAAATTTTTCAAGCGATACCTCCGCTGAATGAAAGGTCCATTTTGACCTGGCCAACAAAAATGATCAGCAGCAGCCCCAGGAATTCAACCCAGCAAATTGCTTTATAAAGCAGCTCATTGTGGCATCATTCCTGGGCTGGACAGAGACGCTGATGGCCCTTTGGAGCTTTCTCTTGCTGCTCTTGACCCAGGGCTGCTTCCCACATTGTGTGTCCTCTCTGAATAAGTCCAGCATCCAGCCTTGTGTGGATGGGCTGTAGGCAAAGAAACACAGAGCAAGTCAGAAGGGGTCTCCCAGGCCATCTAGTCTGACCCCCGGCTCTAGCCGTCTCCACTCACCACATGCCCGCCATGTGCAGGTCTAGCCTATCCTTGAACATCCAGCAAGTCAGACAGCAGCCGCTTGTAGCAGAACTTCAGGATGATCAGGGTGCCCCCCGGAGAGTGCCAAAATGCAGCAGGGCTGATGTATTACATTTCAAAGTGGGTAAAATAAAAATGCTCCCATCTAGACAGCCTCCAAATTCCCTCACTAGGCCATTCTCTCCATTGTTTAGAATTACCATTGTGTACTGCTGACGTCAGAGAATTGCCTCAATCACAACGGCCTGGGTCACACATACAACTACTCTATGGTTTATTTAAGTGATGGGCACTTGAATTCTGGGTTCTCTAGTTGTGCGAACCCTGCCATGCTTACAAGCCATCATTTGTTAACCAGGAACCACCCAGAACGTGAGAACCAATGTTTGCTGGCTTATGAACTCTGTTTAAACTATGGATTAAGTGACAATGCAGAAGGCTGTTTCTTTCTTCAGATTACAGAGGAAGTAAATAGTCAACACCACAAATGTTGGGATGCAGGGAGGGAATGGGTGAAATAGAAGGGAAGCAAAGCAAAGGTTGAGCAAACAAGCCACAGTTGGTTCCATCATGTTCCATGTTCCTGGGTAGGGCAACAAAGCATGGCTTAATCATGGATTAGCACTGTGTGAACCAAGTCGTTGTTAATGGTCTCAGTTTATGAATTCAAGTTCATCATCAAGCAACAAGTAATCAAGCAGTAATATACATACACACGTGAACCAGTCTATACATCAACAAAGAGGCTGATTGTGACAATATTGAATACCATGGTGCAAAATTCTCTCCACCAGAAGGGCACGCAAACCTGCCATATTGGGTCTTATCGCCAATGATCAAAGCCCATTCCTGGTTTGCCCACCTCAGTAATGTATATTTGTAGTGTACAGGTGTTATGTTCCTGGTTCTGAACAATTTTCGTATTTTCTTCTTTGTTTTTAATATGAGGCGCTCTTTTTCTCTCCTCTCAGAGAAAATATCTATAAAATGCAAATAGCTTAACTCTGGATGTTTTTTTCTGTCATATGTATATTTAAGAGTCTGTTTATAAAAGAAATCCATTGTACTGTAAACTACTTCAAAATGTTCATACTTTGTGTAATCATATTTTAATAGCCACGTCATCCTCCATTTGTAAGATATCGTCCACTTCAAGCACACCAAAATGTTTTTTCCTTCATACCATAATAAACTGTCAGGGAAAAATTGCACTCACTGCACCTTCTTCTTTATTTGGTTGTTTTGTAGAGGCAGCACGTTTACAAAAATCGTATCTACAACCTTAACTTGAATAAATGCAGCCAGCCTTCCCCATCCTAACCCTCTCAGACTGGCTTGATCCACAGACATCAGGATTGCACGAACGGCCACGCCACAAAAAGTTGACTAGAGCAATTCCTGCAAACCAGGCTGCCCGAAATAGCTGAGGAAAAACCAACATTTTTCTTAATTAGCCTCTCTGCTTTGTAAATCAAGACCATTATCATTACATTACATTACATTTATTATTACATTGCATTTATATCCCACCTGATTTCTTGTACAGAACCCAAAGCGGTTTGTGTCGTTCTCCTCCACACCACTTTTATCCTCACAACAACAACCCTGTGAGGAAGGTTAGGCTGAGAGTCCATTTCGGTTCCAAAGTCACCCAGTAAACATCATGGCTGAGCGGGGAACAGAGCCTGACTCTCAGCACCACGCCACATGGGCTCATAGGCATGGCAACACGGTCGCCACCAATTGTCTGTTTCTCGGTTGTGCTTGTTAAGTATGAAACGCACCCACAGTGTAGTGTGGAAGCAGAGCTCCTAAATACACTGTTTCATATTAAGCGGTAAACAAGTTTTGCAAGTAAATCAATAAACTGTATATACTCTGCAAATATATTCGTATACAGCACTGCGGGTGTTTCTCTCCCACAGTTCCTAGACCTCCAAAGACATTGACTGGAGAAGTCCCTGCACTGATGCGTTTGCCATAATTCTGCTCAGAGTTCCAGTCTGCTGGCAGCCATCGGGAGGAGGCTGAAAGACCCGCTGCCCGGTATTGTGTAAGCATAGGATGAGCTTATGCTTTGGCCCCAGTCTCAGCCCAGCAAGACGCTTGTCACCTCACTCCAGCCCAGATCTGTCTCTTGAGTTCTCTTGTGGTTGCAATCCAGGGTGCTTGACTGGAGAGAACTTTGCTATCCACTTCTCACCCTTCCCATCCATCTCCTCCCCTCCCTTTCGCCCCTACCCCGTTCTTGGGGTGTGCTGCAACACTGAGCCACCTACAACGTTCTAAGGCACACAAACCACAAGGAGCACACAGCTTAGCGGTGCCTCCTGGTCCTTGTGAACTTAGCATGCTTCGGAGGAGAAGAGGTGGCTGGGGCTTGCATGCACAAGTGGTGATTTCCCAGCACCTTCGTAATGTCTGAATGGGGTTTGAGGTTGCAGCAGGGAAGACTGAGTGGAAAGAATCAGGATCGTATTTGTGGGGCACTGAAGCAGATTCCTCTGATTGCTCCAAGTTCTGCTCAGCACCCCCGTCACCAACTACTATCCACCACCTGGTTTCAAAGCTTTTCCTCCCGTTGCTCATGGCAAGAAATGAGCTTGCTTTCCAAATTAAATCTGGTCCTTGGGATGCAGCCTTGGGATGTAATTAACTGGCCCCAAGATGGTCTTGACCATCAGTCCTGTTCATGTGTTGCATGGACTTTCTATTCTTTGATTGCTCTGCGTGTAAAATGTGAGCTGATAATGCAAACGTCTTGGGAAGATTTCTGTAAGCACTCTGATCTCCCGAACCCAAAGAAAGGTCACTTTGGGATAATAAACTGCATTAAAATATAAATGAAAAGAAACCATGTAATTTTTTCCTGGCAAGAATTATCCCCTAAAGAGCTCCAGGGAAGAAAAGATAGATGTAAGTACAGTAAAAATGGATAATTCTCAGAGGCGACTGCCCAAAGCTTTACTAATTGACTGGAGAATCCTGTTTCACAAGCTGAGAGGGATACATGATGTCTCTGAAAAGACCATTGGTCTCAGGGATTAACCAGGTTTAGAGCCACAAATTCTGTGTTCTACAGCAGTGCAATTCTATGGAGCATTCTTACTCCTGTTTGGAAGTTACCTGTTTCTTATAACAGAAAACTGACCCTGTATTCATGAACTGAGACATCATGAACTGCTAGAATAGTGTCATTTCATTTCTTAGACAACACAGAAAAGAAAAGCTGGACCTGTAGCCTTGTTCAAGCACCTGTTTGACATGCAGGTTCAATCCAGGTAGCACATCTCCTGGCAGGCTTCAAAAAGAGCCATAACTGAAACCCTGGATGTGCCTGCTGAGCAGGGTAGAGCCAGATAACTAGTTGGGCCAGTTGGCTTGACTGAGCATAGCTGCATCTAAGCATGGACAGATTCTACATTCAATCAATGTCCAATGTCTCAATCATACATCCATTCTGTCCGGTTTCCACAACAATATGATAATTCTGGATTTTTTTAAATTAACATTTACATTGCAATGCTTAAATATGCATTTTGTCCACAGTTCATTTGAAGATACGCCATATTTGATGTATTTTGGCATGCTTTGCTTTGTTTTGCAGCCAAGACTTGCATCACAGAGTTCAAGGAAATGTGTGTTCCACCTGCATTCTGACCCATGTGCTAGTCTGGGAAATATGAACCATTAACAGAGGAAAAATCCTGTGGTCCTTGACCAGACCCAGTGCTCCTGAATCAGGAATTAAAATACAACTTCTTTTGCACTTCCATGCAGTTGTCCTGTGAATTCATTGATTGAAAGGGAAGATACTGCTAAGTGCAGGGTGTTAGTTTTGTATCTGTTCTCAGAGTCACTGAGCTGCTTGGCTCAGGAATTTGAAAGCCTTTTATGGCTTACATCCTGGTGGCAGTACCTAAAAATGTGGAAGCCTTAAAGGACAAGCAAGCTGGGACAGTTTGAGTCCACTAAAATCCATATGCAGGCATAAAGCTTTCTGCATGACTTGGTCCAGTCACCTTCTCTTAAGGGCCAGTACAGCGTAGTAGTTTGAGTGTCGGACTGGGACTCAGGAGATCCAGATTCCATTCCCACTCAGCCACTGGGTGGTTTTGGGGCAGCCTGCAAGCTCCTGAAAGGAAGGTGGGATCAAACGGTGCATGAACATCTTCCTTAAAATGCTGTGTTGTGTGGAGATGAATTGTGCCCCAGCATAGTGAAGGGAAAATACAGAGCCAAACCTACAGCTCAAAAAACAATGTATGGAACTTGGAAAATTTACAAGCAGGGTTGGGTGGGCACTGACTCAGGCCTTCTGGAACCCAACTGATGTGATTGATTGTGCACCGTTTTGGGAGGGGCTGCCCAGATAGGATACAATAAAGAATTTTGAACTGTTGACACAACTTATGGTGGTCTCATATTCACTTGGAATCTATAAGTTGATGAAGATATCTATAAATAAACATGTCCCCTCCCCACCCAGTCCCTAGATGACCCTAAGGAGAAACTGGGGCACGCAGGCTGAAATGGTTGCACTCTAATCTTTTTTCCTATTCTTTTTCAGCTGTCTCAGCTAGAATGAATTCCATGAATGAGAACAAGGAATTCCATGTGCCCTCTATGTGGTGTGTCCTGATTAATCCTGATCAGGGGTGGCAAATCTAGGCCAGTGGCCAACCAAACATCAGCAGTTGCCATGGCCATCGCCCTTTCTGTAGGGGTGGCTTTTCTCCCTGATCTCACACTGCGCCTTAAAATTCAACACCTGCACCAGGGCAATCCGCACTCCCCTCCTGAGTTTCAGGTGCTTGGAGCATCTCGGCAGCTCCAAGGCTTGGAGGTGGACCTGGGCATCGTCCCCTTGGTTGCGTTGTGCTTCTGATGCTTGGCCGGCACCTCACAACTGCAGGGATTCCCTCACTGTCTGTTCCACTCCTGCAACTGGCTCTGGATGCCATGAGTGGCACTTGCAACAACATGATCTTGTCTCTTTCTTGATGCCCAGGTTGAGAGGTAGGTTGGAGCTAACCCTACATGCCAGGACAAATGAGGAAGGATCATTGAGGGGCCCTGATCCCACTGCCAGGGAGCTGCAGTGTATGACTGCTGCAGGAAAGGGAGAAGAAAATGCTCTCCCACTGTCGACAGCTTATGAGGCTGTCCTGATGAACTTTCCTCAAACCAGCATTGGTAGCTCTCTGCTTGGCAAGATCGCCTCCTCTCCCGGAGCTTGTGTCATTCTTTGGCATTTCTACGCCGGTCTCAAACTGCTGGCTCATTTTACTGCAGGGTAATGCCATGCTCAGCTATGCAGATTTGGATACAGCCAAGAGACTGCACTGTAAAAGGACAAGGAGGGGGGAATGGTCTTTAAATAGGATGAAGCCAACAGCTGAGGAGCCGAGATCAGTGCAAAGAGGATTCTCAAAGAGAAATGGGATGCAGAGGAGAGAGAGAGAGAACTGAAGGAAAGATGCACGATGGGCCCTTTGTTTATTTTTGCAAATGTCCATTATGTGCGTGAAGCTATGCAGCAAAAAAGATAAAGGCACTAGGTGAGTTTATTTTAAGTAGCAATATTGCCCTTTTCCTTTGCAATAAACAGCAGCTATCTGTGCAATTTTAAAAATATCCAAAAATGATCTAAAATAATAAAGTGGTGGATGGATGCAAAGATCCTTGCTCCAAGTTTTCTCATTGTGATTGTTTATGGGTTCAGGACATGTACAGAAATGCATGAATGAAGAGATGCTCTGCGGGAGCTGCAGTTGTTCCAGCACTGGAAATCAGACTCCAGTGCCAACATTCCCAAACTGGGAGGGCTCTCTGTTCAACAGCAGCCTAACAGTGATTTTGGACAGACATTTTGCATTTGCTTCCTCTCTAATCCAGGCTGCAACCCTATTTGCACTTAATCAGTGAGACTTTCTTCTGAAAATTTATGTACTTATTTCTATTCCATTCATCAGCCTCTCTGGACAGTCCACAGTGTTAACATTGATAGGATTGCGGTCAGTTTCTCAATGATCAGAAAGATAAAGTGGGTGGCAGTTCTAAGGTGCCTTGATATGTATGTGATTCTCTAAATTTCCCTGCACTGTCCAGCCCATTTCAGTGCTGCCATTACAAAGCAAGAGTGAGTACCCAGGCTGCGGAAGAGACGCGCTGGTGGAAATGACTAGAGCATCAGCCAAAGAACCTCTGTTTGAACCAGGTGGAAACTTGGGATAACTGGCCGCTTCCATCACAATTCCCATGGATGGTTAGCCAAGAAAAAGAAGTCCCACATTTCCCAGCTTTCCCCCCAAATTGTGCTGGCTGAAGAACACTAGGCGTTGTTGTTTTTCCCCTGGCTGGAAAAAGGTACGACTTAAGAGTCCTGCACTGAGCAGGGGGTTGAACTCGATGATCCCCTGCCATTCTGTGATATGATTCTATGAATGCTGGGAGTTGTAGAACCTCTGCAAGAATGCTTTCCAATTTCTGGGGAATTCTGAGAGCAATCTTTTTTTTTTCTTGGAGAGATCACTCTGGAAGTTGTAAAACTTCCCAGCTGGGAAGATGCTGGGAATTGTTGATATTTTTTTTCCCTTGCCTGGGGAATGCTGGAAGGAGCTATTATCCTTGGGAATACTGGGAATTGCAAGACTGCCCGTTTGTCGGCTGGGGAATGCTGGGAGCTGCGGCGCTCCGTGTCTTTCTGGGAAATGCTGAGAGGAGCGACTTTCGTCTTGGCGGAGCCGGCACAGCGGCGCCGTCGGCGGCTCTCGCGAACCAAGCGGCCGGCGGAGTGGCAGGAGCGGACCACACCTCCCAAAGCCCCCCGCGGCAAAGGGGCGCGCCGCTGCAGGCGCCTCCCGGGACTACAGGGCGGACTACAGCTCCCAGCGTGCCCTGCTGCGCCCGCGCCCCTTTCCCCGCCAGAGAAGCCTGGCTGGCCTCGGTGGAGGGCGCCGCTTCCTGTCACGTGACGAGCGGGCCGCGGCGGTGGGCGCTACGGACGGGGCTGTGAGGGGACGAGCGAGGCCGCCGCCGGCGCCGGTAAGTGGCTGAGGGGCGAAGCGCGCCGGGGGGACTGGGGGCGGCAGCCGCCGGGCCGGGCAGGCCTGGTCCGCCCGCGCGGGGGGAGGGAGGACGGCCGAACCCGTGGGGTCCGCCTCGGGCTGCCTCGAGGGTTGCTCCGGACGGCGCTCCATATAAAGAAATCTGGATTGACCATTCACCGCAAGGGTCGCCCTGGCCACGCCCTGCAAGTAGAGAGCAAGCGCCTCAGCGGCTCCTCTTCCCCGCCGTCACCCTGAGGCGCTAGCTTTCCACCTGCGGGGAGAACCCCGAGGTGCTGGCTCTCTACACCTGTGCCTGAGGGTGTTGCTTTGCCCTTCAGGTAATGTCAAAAGGGACATTCAGAAAGGACGCGTGCAAATGTGCCCCGGCCCACCCACCTCTCCGCGGGTGTTGTGCCAGGTATTTCTCAGGGCCTTGCCGCACCGCCTCGTAGCATCCTTAGGGCGGTAGCATAGACCAGCTGGGACTGCGGAGGCACACCTCTGGGTCCCCATCTAGTTCGTGGATGCACTCGCCGAACAATTAAGCACAGCCCACCTGCTCCGTTCAGGGTGCAGTCGGGCGTCCTGGGAGCTGCTGGGGGCCTCCAGAGAGTTGTGGGATTTTTCCCTCTCTAAATATGGATGGGATCGTAATCTAATGAATATTCCCTTTGCCTCTCCACCCTTTCTCAGCTCTTTCGACTGTTTCAGGGCTAGATTTTTTCCTCTCTTCCTTATTTGCGGGCACATCCTGTAACTTTTGTGTATTTGTGTGCACACTGGAGTTCTGCATTGTTGTAATGTGCCTCACACACACTTTTCCATGCCCAGCTGCATTCCTTGTGAATCGATATTGTCCATATATGGTATGCTGCACTGGTATTTTTTCACACTTGCACCCACATAGTTGTGTGGATTTTTCTGTCCCCTCACATCATCAACTTAAGAGTTTCATGTTCCTTCAGCACAGAAATGGTTAGCTTCACTTCTTTATATTTCCCCCCACAACTTCCACCCCAAGATGTCTAGTGGCTATCTGGATTGCTGCAGACTAGTATCAGCACTATGCTCTCCCTCTCTCGCACACGTAGTGTTACCTTCTTTCTTTTCTCTACTTTCAAATGTAATTTGAGTAAATTCTGTGTCTGTCTTTGTCTCTTTAGTCTACATTTTATGGAACTTTAATTCTGTGTAGGTTAGGCTTAAATTGATTCAATGTTTTTCCCATTACTTTATGCGTTTCTATATTGTTTGTTTAACCTGCCATGATACTGTTTTTGCAGTGGAAAACATCACACAAAAATAATGGTAATATAATTGTCCTTGTAGTCAGAACTGCCTACTCTGATGACAACATTACTGTTTAAGGCAGCAGTAGATTCTGTTAGCTAGCTCCTGATTGGTTTAACCCTCACATTGCAACAGATGTTTCTTCTGGGGTGATTTTATAACCCCAGGAGGAAGTGTGTGGATTGCAAATTCCTAAAGTCCTTTGTTCTATTTGGAATTTTCCTTCCTGGGGTTGAGATCAGTATCAGAATAGCTTTCAGCTTTCAACAAGCACTGGTAATTTACATTTTTTGTATTCCTGAAGCTGTGTAAACTGAGAAAATCTACATAACAGTAGCAGGGCTATTGATTTTTCTCTGAATAACAATAGTTTTGTCTACTAAATTTAAAACCTCCTGCCAGTGCTTTGCCTTATGGATTTTCATTCTGTTTGCTGGAGTTTTTAGCTTAGAACTTTAAAATGAGACTAAGATGATCAGAATTGAACCTTTATGCTGTTTTGAGGGACTCTCATTTGGGGTCACAAAGTCACCCTGCTCAGCTATTGCTGGGAAGCCTCTGGAGTGACTCAAGCATTTTTCTAGAGTGATTCAAGCATTTTTCTTTTATTTAAAAAATGTAAAAGGCAAGAAACTGAAATTTGAGGATATTTTTTATTATTATTATTATTATTATTATTATTATTATTATTATTATTATTATAACATTTCTATGCCGCCCCTTGCCGAAACCTCGGGGAGGCTTACAACACGATAAAATACATTGAAATACATTATAATAGGGAATATGTGAGAAAGTTATAAAAGAACAGCTTGGTAGGAAAACTCATAAATTACAGTACAGAATGTGCATCCATGGTAATAGTCATCCTGCACAACAGGATAGGGGTGCCTGGAATTGAACATGTGGCCTTATACATGTAAAGCACTCTACTGACTCTCTTTCTCCCTCAAACTGATAAATCTTTAGTTTGGCCCTGTGTTAGGTAGGATCAGAAAAGGTTGCATACATAGGGCTTTCAGTATATTTCTGACCTCCTGAGTGTAGGCATTTCTCACAGGGTGCTTTCCCTGCTTTGGTTCAGTAGAACATGACTGGTTTCAAAGCATTTAGGGTACCATGATACTCAGGGAAAAGGGGGTGCATAATGGGATGCAGGGTGACATTCTTGATTTTGAATATTGCAACAGTAGGAACATATGCAAAGCACATGTTCTGCCTTGTATGTTTGGACCTTTTTTTGCTTGTTTGTCAGATTTGATATATATTCTGACCCACAAGGGGTGCCCCATATATTCCCTCTTCCATGCATGCAGTCATACCAAATAAGAGCTGTTTGTAATGCAAAATTAGATTGTTACTGTGAAAACAATCTTGATAATGCTGGATTGGACTGACACTTTGTCATGCTTAAAATCTTTTCACTGAAATTAGTTGAATTACTAAAAGCATTTCTTATCAGTGCTGCAGTATATAGTTTTCTAGCACAGTTCTTCTAACATTAACTTCATATTCACTTGTATCCAAAGTTGTTAATTAATCAGATCTGTATGTATTCCAAGAGCTAATAAGTGGAATCCGAGTAGTGTTGGGACTTTTGGGGGGTAGGAGGGAACGTTTAAATTGAGTTCATTTGTCCATCCTGCAGCAGTTTATAACTGGTAATTTTATACATAAGTACAAGAGGACATAGTTTTTAATCAATTGTATAAGAGTTGTCCAAAATACTTTGCAGAAATTCATATTGTAATCTGCATGTGCATCACCATTGAAGTGTAATCCCTAGGAGTCTCATCTTCAATGTGCCTGAAACATATAGTAGCAGAATTTAACTACAATTTGAAATCCGTGTTTGTTGTTTATGATAACTTATAAACTTAATTTAGTATTGTCTGAATTGACTACAGTGCCACCATATTTGGGCAGAAGTTCCTTCTGGTCCTGCTGCACATCTACTCTCTCTGGAACTTTCTTGATATTTGAGCAGCGATATAGGACCACATATAGATGATTTTAGGAAAAAATGCATTTGCATCCAATAAAGAAGAAATATTGAATGTACATATACTCATTGTTCAGTCTAAGTTCTAAATTGTTCATACTAAATTCTTTCAGTTTGATTGCGCTAACATTTAAGTCTTACAATATTTACATTTGAGTCTACATTTAAGTCACACATGGTGGGCATTTCGTGAGCGGAGCCGGCTGGTGCCAGAGGTCAGACTAGATGGCCTGGGAAGCCCTTTCTGACTCGCTCTGTTTCTATGTTTTATATATCTTAGGTAGCAGTAATTTTTGTATTCAGTAGTGCAGTGTTTTTGCAGATAAGGGAAAATTCTAATCACATCCACAAACACACAAACATTTCCTAGATACAATGTATAATGTGCGGGTTTTGAAAAAATGGATGATGAAGATGGACATTTTCCTTAGGTAGCTGAGGCTAGGAAACAACTAGTGTTGAGAAATGAAATCTTTTATATCAAATTGCATCTGAAGATTTGCTTCAGACCAGCGTCTCTGTGTGGTATTCTTGTGATGTTGGTGAAACAATATTGTCATAAAATGTGTGCTAAAAAATGTCGCATCACTCCTGGAAGGATGCCATTTCTTGCATGACATATCCTGAAATAATCAAGGAGGAAACATTCATGCGGGTTGGTTTTTGGAACACATGTTGCATGTCTTCATGGAGTTGTCTCAGTTTACATCTGCTGTTGAAATGGTACTTGATGGAAAAGAAGACTAAACCTGTTTTTAAACACTGAAACTATTTTTGGTTTTCCTTTAGCAGACTTAGGGCTGTTTCAGTGATTATTAGGCTAAATAATTGGTTTCCTTTGTTGTAGAAGAGGGGGTGTGGGAACTTCTGCTGCTATGCAACTCCATTTTAGGGGTGCAGATGGCACAATTTTACACTCAGCAAAAGCAAACTGGGAGAGTACTGTAGAAAAGGCGTTGTATCCCACCTGTCTTTGGTTGATGGAGCAGCTATGTGTCTGCCCACAGGTAGAAAAACGGATGGAAATCAAGCTTGTCAGTTACAGATGCTGTATAACAGGAAGACATTATGATGAGGAGCTCAGTTTGGACTGTTTCAGTGTCCAGCACTGGCATTCAGCATTCCCACCAATACTCGTTAGCCTCAATTTCTTTGAGACACTTGTGGGGCCCCTGTGAAGAGATTCCCCTGCATGCAGGTGCAGTGAATTCTTCACTGTGTCCTTGAGATAAGGAACGCTTTCACTGAAGATAACTGGAAGGGCTAGCTGGTGTAACCTCTGAGAAAGAAGGCGAGAAGAGCAGTATGTAATCCAAGGCGAAGCATTGCTGTTTAGGTTCCCATGTGGAAGCAGGACCCTGCAAGTGTCCACATAATTAGTGCCCTGGGAACAGTGTTTGGAACCACAAACTTTTCTTTGGTTTATTGATAATCTGCATCCGTATTTCTTTACTACGTGCATTCACTAAACTGAATATCTTTGATACAGATGGTTTCATTTCTCTGCAAGTATCTTTGTATCTAAAATGAGGTAAATAGGTTGGACAAGGCCTCTGGGGTTAGAATAGGTACCATGGTCAAATTGTTGTTTTGTGTACTAGCATTCCAATTTATCATGATATTACAGCAAGCAAACAAAAATGTTGTTAGTTATCTTTCTCACATTAAGTGGGCATAGCTGCCTCTAGGATTGCGAGTACTATTATTTTCCCGTGGTATATATAGTAAGACTGGCCCTCAGGAGGCTTTGTGTATAGATATCTTTTATGGTTGTTAGGTGCATTTAGTTACTTGATGGGATCATGGAGGTTGCCACTTGAGTGCCTGAGTCCTAAAGTTGCTGGGCCTCAAGAAGGAAAATAAAACATAAGCAAATAAAAGCCAGGTGTGTGTCTGTTATTCTCCATTGCAGGACTTTGCATTTTATTCATGCTGTTGGAGTTGTTCCTTATGCACAGAAAATAAAAGAAAAGAAATCAAGCAGTATGAGAATAATCTCTGAGTCCTTGGTCAGAAAAAGTTTACAAATACACAATTGCAGAAGATAGGGTTTACTGTCAGCATCTTTCACTCTATTTTTAGCTCAAGAAAGTTGCATTTCTAAGTGAATGTAACTTGATATAGTAAAATGTTTTGGCAGGATGAAAAATGTATTCTAAACAACTAGAATGGAATGCAGTAATTTACTATGAAGCAGAGCTTGTAACATTCTATTTTTGCGGGTGTAACTAGGCTTAGACAATCTTTCTGCATTTGGTTTTATATTATTTCTTGAAGCAACTTAGTATTGTATCTGCCAAAGTTGTGGAAGGCTTTTCAGATTGACTGTTCCAACTATTATATGACATGGAACGATTTATGTGTAACTGATTTTAGTATTGACTTAGAAGTAGATATCTGAAAAGATGTTAAAGTTTGGGTGGGAACTGGTTTTTTACATTTTCTAAAAGTTCCTGTGCGAAAGATTGGGGAAATGGTGTCCGCAGAAGTTCTCTCAAAGGGTTTCCTGTTTCCCCCCAACTATTCACATCTTCCCCATGAAAAAGTATGTTTTCCCCCATTTTTCCCATGTTAGGTGAATGCCAACTCAGTTTTTATTACTCGTATTTTTTTTAGTCCTTGAGAGAGGATTTAAGCATTGATTCTGCACATTTAAGGAGTTTTCCCCCATCCCCCTTTATTTTGCAGTTCTGAATCAATACCATCTAACTTTCAGGGCAGTGCTCAAATTGCAATAAAACCTTGAGGTTTTGGACATTGCTTTTACCATGGAAGTAGGAATCTCTTCACTCTTACCCCCTCTGCAAAAAGCAACCAATGAGATTGCTTTGCTACTTCCTTCTCAAAAGTCTATTTTAATAAATTACTGTTCCCAGCCTACCTTTTGCTTCATGTAAGCACATTTGCAGATGGACATGTGCTTGTGTATAGCATTCATTTTAGGACAAAGAAGTGTGTTAGCCTGAGGGTATGTTTGTTTTTGGATCTAAGGCTGAAATCGTATGCTTGTCTAGATAGAAGTCCTACAGATCCCAGCATTCCCATGTATGGGGGAGGGATTTTTTTTTTTTTTTGGTCTTTTTTGTCTTTTTCTTTTTTTTCTTTGGATTGCCCTGTATAAATATCTGAAAAAGCAGGAGATTTTTAGTTCCTGCTGGGTTAAGATGCTGTCAGTGATTCCTAAATAATGGTCTAGAAGTAGAGTACAGAAAATGCAGAAAATGAAGGCTTGTGTCTTCAAGCTCCTGAGAATGTGTGTTACGATCAACAGTACAGCCTTGTTAGCTAGACTGTTTCTAACTTGTGGAGTAGGTTGAAGCTGGACAAAGGCAAGATTTTGAAGGCACCTAAACTTCAAAGCAACAAAATATTTGAACTTGGTTGCACTCTCATGGGTGGCCATATCTGCTCCAAGAGTCTGACATTGGCCAGCTGTTCTAAGCCAGTATTCTTTAAGAAATTTTAGAAGAATGAGGGTCAGTACCCATTCCAAAGAATGCTGATATCCTTTATCCCTTTGAAAAAGGGTTAGTTGTCACAAAATGTGAATTTGGAAAGTGAGAATCATTCTTTTTTCCTTCCCCTTTCCCTCTTTTTTCCTGTTGAGTTTTATTTCAGCTTCACTGTACAATGAACATCTCAGAAAAGTGAAGAGATGAAATAATTTTGCAGTAATTGGAGCATTATTAAAACACATGGCACTGGTATACTTCTAGTTTTTATTGAACTGTCCAAAACATGAAAAATCTGCAGCTGAACAAGTTGTTCTCAAGAGATTACTGCTCCTTAAAGGACAGCCACTTACACTGTCTAAAGCTGAAAGAGGAGGCATCTGTCTACCTGCCTCGGGCTCCGTGGCATCTCGGTATCATACACGGATGTAATTTTCTCTGTAGGAACCACACAGAGACTTATGTTGCTGGAATCATTCCCCGCAGAGTGAATGTATAGCTTGATACTGTTCCTCAGGTCATTCAGCTCCTTTTTCACAGTCCCAGAATGAATGGTTTCTTCCGGAGACTACTGCACTGTCCTCCTAAAAGGACAGGGCACTATTTAGGAGAAGCAACTTGCTGTTGCCAAGAAAATAATGGGATTCCATTGTAAATATTTTTGCCATTAGCACTAAGGTGTTCATCTGGTTGGAAGGTTCATTTGCTGTTCCACACTGTTCTGGCATTTTATTTTGTTCAGGACCTATGTCTTGTTCCAGAAACCTTGCCTGCAATTCCCTCTGCTACCTGCCCAGGGATTCCTCCTCTTAATCTGTTATCAGTCCAATTTTGTAATTATGGTCTTTGTTTGCAATCTGTTACTTGTTGCTTTCAAACTGTGTTCTAAGAAGCCCTTGGAAGAGGCCATCGGGCTGACAGATTTACTTTGGACATATTGCCCACCTTAACCAGCCTTTCTTCTACAATAACTAGAGTTATTTTCTAAACTATACACATTCGGTTCATGTAGGGCAACTTCAAGGCCGAATAAGCGCAAACTCTCTGCCATGAGAACTCCCTGGAACTCTAGGTTAGAACATACCTCTAACTCTTCAAGAACACACAACAGTGCCATGGAGATACGCTATGCAGGAGTCAGTCTGGAAAGGGTACTCTGAAAATAGCAAGTCATGGATTTGCAAGAGTAAGAATTAATGGGTCTCTTGTGAGCAGAGTACCATCTGCATCTTCCCATCAGTACAGTTTTATTTAGTGGCATTTAGGTGTTTAGATTTCAAGGTCTAGCCTTACCATTAGATTTCATGAAAATGTGCATCGCCATCATCATCTGTATTATTATTAAGGACCTCCTCGTGACTGTATACTTTACAGTGTTGAGGGGACTTGAGAGGAGAGTCTGGTCTCCTAGCAGGGTCACCCAAGGTGAAATGACCAAAGCTGAGACATCAGACTAAGGTGCATCTACCATCTTTATTCACAGGGTTGCTGTCAGCCAGAGAGGACTAGATAGCATGTATCAACAACTTTTGGACATTAAAGATAGTACCTTTTCAGATTTTGCTGTAATACTGCTTTGGAAATTTTTCTAGGAACAAGATAGCGTAATCTGTACTATAGGGAGAAATAAGTGTTTTACTAGTAATATCATTATTGGAATTTAGCGCTCAAGATGACAAAACTCTCAGGGTGGTACCTGGAAATGCACACTGAAATGTGATCCACTGAAATGTTATCTTTATATCACGTTATTAAGAGTTTTCTCATGGTCATCTGTTTCACAATTATACACTATATCCTATAAAGTCCCTCAGAGAGAATAGAAACAGTTAAGAAAACAATAACAGTAAAATGACACAATTTTGGCTGCAGCATACTGGAAAACAACCTTCAAAATAAAAGCAATTGGAGAGAGTACAGAAACTTGACTTGCAATAATAACCAATCCATGTTTCCTCCAAATTAACTTCTCTGTTGAATCAGGCCTGTTTCAATCCAAGGTACTACTGCCAAGTATTCTATCCAAAGTCCTTTTATGAAACCTGGAAACTGACCAAGGTGCTGGAAATTGGCACCTCAAAGCAAGTTATCATCCCCCAGTCTCAGGACCTGCGATTATTATTGCAGCAATGTATTCTGTATTATGATATTATGTATTGCGCCAATGAAGTTGCTGATGTACTGTGGTGGTAGTTTGGGTTGCTGAGATCAGGCATGAGAAGAATGTCACATTTATACAACCACTGTTCAGTATGACAGCGTTTCAGGAGCTTTTAACTGTTGACTGCTGTTGATGCTATTGCCTAGTGACGTTGTTTGGCCGGATCAAGTCGTTTCTTTTGGAACTGAGAGCTCCAGAAGCCCTCTGCTAAATCAGCCAAATGACACAGGGTGAAGTTGGGCACATAGTCATGAGACGCGCACTGTGGCGAGTGGAAGCAGCCAGATCAGAAGAACTTCATCCCCATGCCTCATTCAGAAGTCGGTCTGCACCCTTACCCTCTGTTGAAAATGGCCTCCTAGTTTAGAGTTCCTCTGCTTATGGAGGTGGCTTATGCCCATCTTTTAAATTTTTCTTCAGTGAGGAAATGGAGAAATTCAAATTGGGAAAAGTACTGCTACTGTCTTCATCCTTCCCTGCCGTGGGTGTATTTGACCTTGCTAAAATGGTTTGGCAAAAACAGCCCAGATTTTTTTTTCTTTCTCCCCCACCCTCTGTGGAAACTTTTATAAATATTAGCTTGTATGGCATCCAGTATTTAAGCATTTCATTTTGTGTTGGCCTGGAACTACTTTGTTGGAACTACTTTAATGTTTTAATTCATTTTCCAACTAACTTTAGGATGGTAACATGTGAGATTTTTGGAAGCTGTCCAACATTGTGAGCAAAATGGAGGAATTTATTGAAAGTCTCTTTACTTTCTTTCGTGCAATTCTCTTCTCTGAAATTGAGAAGTTTGCAGACCCTTTCAATTTAATAATATATACACTGCAAGTATAATTTACATTTTCTGTCCCTATGTTCTTTCTAGATTCCCTCCATTATGGCCTCCTCCTCAACACCTAGATGTAACTCAAACTCCTTGGAGACCTCCTCAATTAAAAAAGTGAGTATGTTTCCTTGTTTAAATTGTTCCCTTTCTTCTGTTCAAATTTAAACATTTGTGGATATCTAAATGTCTTCAAAGTGATCCATGATAGTTGTGCATTTAAATGTCTGCCTTATTTTTAGAATCTAATTTTATAACTTAAGATTGTCTTAAAACCTAAGCTCAGTCCCACAGGATAGGTGAGAACTCCAACAGCTCTGTGTAATTTCTCCATTCCCTTTGTTCTGATTGATACAGAAACAGAATTGTATCCAAATTGCACAACAGAATGAGACTTACTTTTCTGATACCACTTTTTCTTCTTTAGCCTATGAAAGATGGAACTAATTGGGAACATCATGAAGAAATACCTTGTCTACCCGGGGAAAATAGAATCACAGGTAAAGACAAATAACCATAATCAAAGAGCCAGTTCAAATGTGCAAGACTGGGCTGTACCCTATCCAAGAGCAGATGAACAGTAATGTATCTGAATATTTAGAATGCATGTTTAAAAGCTAAATGCTCCAGTATGTCGATACCTTGTGCTTCCAAGACAAACTAAGCTGTTCTTCAGCAACCTTTTTTGTATTTTCTGGACATTTTAGCAGAGGCAGATACCTAATCCTCAGCTGAGGGAAAAATGATGCATTTTTGTGAAGGAGATGGCTATGAATTCTGTATTATCTCAACCGGAATGGCATGACCTGAAATCCCTTCTGTGGTAATCACTAGTAAAAATAACAATGGGAATGATGGCCACAGAGAGTCTATTCCCTCACTGCTCACGGCAGAGGCAGTGTCTCCTTGCTGACAGATATGGAGCCAAAACTAGGCCATCGCGGAACAAGAGTAGGGGCAGAAGCACAGACAATCGCAAAGGGGTCGCTGTGCCCCCTGACAGCACATTGAGGCTTGGGCATTTTCAGAGGACCACTGGAATATTGTCAGCTGTGAGAGAGGAATGCAAAATGGGTGGGATAAACTGAACTATGTCTGGCTTTGAATCCTGAACACACATCCTGGGGGCAGGGAGGTGACCATATACTGTAACATTTTGTTGCAGGTCCATTGGTAGATGCACATGCAATCATGACACAATTTTTAGTGCACATTAAAAAACACAGCTATCTCTGTCAGTCGTTTGTAGCATATCCAAGGATGGAAAGAAGTGAAGGCTTTGCCCTCTTCCAGTTCACAAAAACTTCTCTGTCTGATTGTCTGGAGCTAATGCTTGCTCACCAGAGGCAACTTGGCAAGTGGCTAATTACAAGCTTGCTCTGTTAACAGGCTTAATTGATGGATTGCTGGCACTTTGGGCATGCACAGCTTAATAAGACTGTGTCATGCACCATTCCAGAGTTTGCAGCATGTCATGTCAGGTTTCAGTGTGGGCAGCTCCGTGTCACGGTTTTCCTTCTCTCTCTGTTAGATTCCACAAAATAACACTATGCTTGGTTTATGTTGTAACAAAGCCTAACTTGTTTGACTAGGGATACAGTTTATGCCCCGAATTACTGAATTAGTGATTTTTCTTAAAATATTTATGAGTAGCAAACCCAGTTATCCTCTTCAGAATAACCTGAGCAACAAGAAATCACTGGCTTATTTTTGACATTTCAAGTATGTAATGGAGTTGCAGTGCAACCTCAGCTGCTGTGTTTTCCCTTCACCCAGCACCCTTTGCTGTGTTTCCAGCTCTGAGTCTTGGCTGTTTCTCTGGGCCTGTGCAGTCCTGCATCTGATTTCCTCTGCTTCTGGGCTTCCTTCCATGTTGCTTCTAACAGTTCAAGCTTCTTATCTTCAGTAATGGTGGCCTCCATGTACCTTCCTGGGCCTGAGCCCAGCCCTTGCAGTTTCCCATTCTTCTTCCTGCAAACCTTCTTTCCTTCCCCCCACCCCCTTGCTTTAATCTTCACTCTCTACAGCCCCCCTTGCCTACCCGTTCCTTTCTATATCCTGGAGCCAGAAGCTCCACCCTCTTCCCTCGCCCTTTTCATAATTATTTATCCATCTGTTTAATTGATTAAGGACATGCTGATCAAAGTCCGCTGTCCTTCTCTTCCCCCACCATGTGGGGAACCTCCAGTTTTCTCTGCCTGTGGCTCCTGGTTCTCCACAGTGCATAATAAAATGGAATTTTTGCATCAAGGACCAGTTACTGATTATCCTGCTGCTTCTGCAAACACAATTTAGCATCTTGGTAGATCTGTAGCACATGACTGTAATTAATTTAAAAGCAAAACTAAACAGCTTTGTTCAGTACAGATTTAAGTTATAAATGCTTGAACGCCAAGTTGTGAAATCCTACTGCTCTTCGTGAAATGTGTGAACCATCTTCATTGAAAATACATGTCAGAACATAATGCACTACACATTTATACTACTGTGGTTGTGGCTTCCTGCAGCTTTTTCTGGAAATTGTAGTTTGGTGAGGGTACGGATAACAGCAAGCAAGTGGCAAGAATCAGACCTGGTCTGATTCTGCATTTGTGTAAGACTACTTCCCCATGTTCCAGAACATTAACAGAGACTCACTGTGGCCATCTGGAACTAGTTGCATGCTTCTTTACCTAGCCCAGTGTATTTTCAGCTTTGTGGTTAAAGTCGCGTGGTATTTTGGCATTACAAATGTTTTCTCTCATTCTGCCTCTTTTACGGCTGTCTTATTCTTACGATGGGGGTGGCTGACTGTATTGCATTATTGTAAATGTACAACTGTTCCTTCCACAGACAAGGAAGTCATTTACATGTGCCCATTTAATGGTCCTGTTAAGGGAAAAGTGTACATAACAAACTACAGACTGTACTTGAGAAGCATGGAATCGGTAAATACTCTGTAGTTGCTTATTTTGTGTTGGAAGCCATTGGTTACAGTGGCTTATGTGTGGTTTGAAGTGAAGGCAGCTTAATGATGCTTCCAGTTAGCACTGATGTTGAGAACTCTACTTACCTGCTTCAGAATGACATGTTTGCCTAGAACACTGTGCCAAGTCAAATGTTACATGTTTCAGAAGGCAAAACGGTCTTCTGCAGAGGATGCTTTTTGACTGAAGTCTGTTTCTGGTTCAAGGGAGGCCCTACCTGTACCATCATGATACCTGTTGCACAGAGTTTTGTGGGGACCACATGACATCCTTCTCCTGCATTTTACCTCTGCTTCCTCTGTCCTTTTCCTTACCAGAAGAGATCTGTTGAGGAGAAGACTGAATAACTGCAGAATGGCTTTCAGTCGGTAGCACTAGGAGCTCTCTGTCTTGAGGCACCCTGTGCCATGCACACTAGTTAGTATTCACACACAGCTAAGTAACTGATCTGAAAAGGAACTTGTGAGGCTCCAAGTGCAGGAGTAATGATGCACCCCAGTTTTTGAGTGGGGGAAGTCTGTGCAGCCAATAGCCTAGCCAAATTTATTGTTCGGTGACCTCCTAACCTGTATTTTCATAACCTCTTCATGGGGCTAAGGTGAGATTCCTCACCTTAAAGAGTATTTTTAAAAGAAATATTAAACCACCTTATGAGAGGTCTTCTGAATGCTCATGATTGTTGACCTAGTTCTAATCTGAACTGAGATCAAATGTTATTTGTCACAGTCGTCCGTTTATTGCTTTGCAAGAGTTTCAAAAACTGACAAAAAGTAAGTATTTCATCAAGCTTTACTCTATTGCCCTGCTTTCTGGTATGCCCATACAATTTTTTAAAAATTGCCTGTCATTTCCCTGAGCATACCCTGAATGGCTGGTGGTGTGAACACCTCAGCCAAAATGTTGGCCTTGATTTACATTTCACTTTTGGACTTTTCTGAGTGCACTTCAGTGCCCCATCAAAGAAGTACTACTTCAGATGTGTAATACCACAGTATTTTTGTTAAAAATCCCAGAGAGTTATCTGTTCACTCTGTTTTCTCCTCCTCTGCCTCTCCATGAAAACTGCACACTCACCAACATACAGTATAGAATTTAAATAAACAATTAGATCCTAGAAGAGTAGAGTTGGAAGGGGCCATGAAGGCCATCGGGTCCAGCCCCCTGCTGGTGCAGGACACCACGTTACACCATCCCACTCAGATGGCTGTCCAGTTTCTTTCTGAATGTCTCCAGTGTGGGAGAGCCCACCACCTCTCCAGGCAGCTGGTCCCACTGTTGTTTTTTTCTGACAGTGGGGAAACTTTTCCTGATGTCCAGCTTGTATCTGGGTTGTCACAACTTGAACTGATTATTCCGTGTCCTACACTATGTCTCCTGAAATACCCTGGGGATTTTATAGAAAAATAAAGTTTAAAAAAATTGAATGAACACTGTAAACCCTTAATAAAGTTATACTTTCATCACTTTAATGCAGTTTTCTATGGGTTGTTGCTTACAGCAGTGTTGCCTTTTTTGTCATTCAGTACAGCTGAGTAGGAATAGGGAGAGCATTGCCATAATGTCCTAAGGAATCTGTATTTGGTACATTTGCTTTTGTGCTGCATAAAAAAGCCTGCCAGAAGCTTAACATGCTGCATTTATAGCAAATGCTTCCTATATAAATCCTACTAGCATAATTGTCAAGAAGAGACCATGTTTCATTATGTGAAAATGGTTCTATCAAATTAAAGATAGACATATCTTTAAAGATATGCATATGTTTTATTTAAAACAGAAATTGTGGTCTGTTAGGAATAATCTGGTTTATTCTTTACCTAACTAGGATCCAGTGGTGATCTTAGATGTTCCCTTGGGAGTAATTTCAAGGATTGAGAAAATGGGAGGTGCTTCGAGCAGAGGAGAAAATTCCTACGGATTAGATATTACCTGCAAGGTAAGGGTGGTACTGTTTCTTGTTAGAAGAAATAGCTTAGCCTGGTGAACTGGGAAATAAACTTTGGCTGCTTCCTGTATCTCAACCAATCAGGCATGCAGTACTCAAAGAGCTCCGTGGCTGGAGCCTGCTGCCTCTCCTGGGCCTGGCTAGCAAGAGGAAGACAGGTGATTTTTCCTCCATCCAAAATACAAAAAAACAGCTAGATGTGATTCTGTTCCCACCTAGACTTATTTCTCAGTAAGTGGGGAGGGAATAGGGAGGCCAAATAGACTGTGCAGCCTGGCCTCTCACCACCTCCTCTGCCTACCAGCAGCCCTCTTCCCATTTTCTCCCTCTCTGACTGCCTTCGGCATGTTGCAGTTGAAACCTTGTAAGAAAAGCCAGTGGGGCTCGAGGGAAGACGGACCCCTGGGTCTCTCCCTCTGTGCTCCTAGCTCTGTCCATGGACACAGGAGGCGCTCTGCAGCGTTCAGCAGCACCCCAAAAGCTGAGGACTGAGCCACTACAAGCATAGTGTCTCCCGTGTGTTTGCATCCCTGCCCTCCTATGTATAGGAATTCAGAGAAGGGCCTGACCTATGGCTCTGGAGTCTGTGGGGGAGCATAAGGGAACATGTGTTTTCCCAGTGTCCTTTCTGTTTTGTACAAAGCCAGGGAGTCTCACTGCAGCCTGACTGGCAGTTTATAGATAGTGTCATATTGGCAACTTGCAAATAAAGTAAGAGGTTGTAGCTGGGGGGGTAGAATAAAGAGGCATTTTATATGTGGTAACTTCAATTAAGCCACAGCACTTGGAGTTTAAATTTTGGTTTGCTTTGTTTTTTAAGATTTGTGATTGAAATTTTAGGATATGAGAAACTTACGGTTTGCATTGAAACAAGAAGGTCACAGCAGAAGAGACATATTTGAGATCCTAACCAGATGTGCTTTTCCACAGTCACATAACATGGTAAGTTTGGTTGTATTTTTCATTTGTTTTACTCCTTTTGAAGAACAGTTTTGGAGAATATTATCCCGGAGTCTTGCTGTTCACCCGTCCCAAATGAGATATAATCTCCAGTAAGTATATATAAGATAGCAATCTTAGTGTTGCATGAAATACCTAATAAGTGAGAACTTGGTGTTTCAGCCTTCGTAAACCCACAAGTCTTGTGACACTTTTAAAGACTGATAGACCCTTGAGGCATCCATTTTCATGAACAGCAGACCAGTTCATCAGAAACATGGAGAGTTGGTCTGTTGTCATAACTTTCACACATGAATGTAACATAACACAACAGTGATACTGAAAAACATGTCAGTTTCTCCTCCTCTCTTCTTCCCTCCCAAATTGATGGAGGATGAAATTGACAAGTACAGAACATGACTCTGCTGGGCTAAAGGAAACAGCAGGGGAAAGAGGAAGAAATGGACAAAGATATTTGCAAAAGGGAAATATTCTTCATGGAGCTACATGGAATGCAGGTGGACCGGCAGTTGTGCACACTTGCACAAGATTGTAAAACAATTAAGGAAAAATGTGATCTGTTTGCATAGATGTAAAAATCACCCTCCAATTGTACAAATTGCCACCATTAAAATAAGCAACAGAATTTATGCATTAGCTCAACCTAGTAGAGATTGTGTTGACTTCCATGGGGAAAGTGGAACAGAATTGGAAAAATCTGTTAATTTTTACCCCAGAGTGGCATTCTTCTATATCCCGTGTGTGTGAGTGTGAGAGTGAGCGAGCAAGCGCTGGGACTTTGTAATGTTGTTATTACTGAAAGACTAAGTATTCTCTGAATTGGGGCCAGAAAGAGTGAGCCCTTGAGAATTGCCCTGCAGAAGCATAGAAGGGGGGCTGGGGAATGTGGGAACAGGCGATTGTCATTGACATCTAAGATAAGTGTTAAACCAGAGAGCACATGGGCCAATTACAAGTGAATAATATAATTAGTAAATTATAAAGAACTGAATCTCTTGACTTACTGCTGATAAAACCTTGTATGAGTAGTAGCAAGTTAGATGTCTCTGGCACAGTGCCAGCATCTTTATCTGTGCACTTGGCAAAGACCGCTCATCTTTTTTACCTATTTTTTTTTCATATTTGTGTAGTATAAACTTTTAGTTTGAGTGTCAAGTTTGGTTGGCCTAATGGTGTGATTAAAAAATAAATAGGCTGTGTGCTTCAGTAACAAGCTTCACCTGACTGGTATTGTTTTGATTAATTGTATTTCGTTCTTCCTTTTAGGACCTTCCTATCCCGTTCCAAACAGCTTTCTAGTCCAACTTTTGCCCACAGTTGGCACATAGCCCAAGGCTATGACCCCAAGTCACTGGGGAGACTAAATGCCAATTGCAAGCAACCATAACTCCAGTGGGTCATAAATGCCTGAGCAGTATGGGTTTTTAATGTCATTATCCTTAATATGAGTCATTTGCTAATTTTCCATCCTCTATATGCAAATTAATTGAGAAATTTAACAGAGACCATCTAGCGGTCAGATCTGTTTTGCTTCCTGACAAAGAGAAGCAGTAGTCTCTTCTTCCAAAAGTAAATGGCAGTGATAGCTATAGGTTGAACACGCAAGTGGAATAAAAGGTCTCTGAGAGTCATCAGGCGTAAATGGTGTGTGTGTGTGATCAGCTCTTCAGTCTTCACAACCCCTAAATGCAGCTGTTCTTGACACTGCTTGCATGGGAGCATGTGGGAGTGGCTCAGAAGAGCTTATTTCTGTCCTTTAAGTATAAGCCATTGGAACACTTCAGTGAATATTTACTCAGAAGTAAGTCCTGGTGGGTTCAATGGAACTCACTCCTTTGGGATCAGGTCTAGGATTGCAGACTGTATCAAAATTTTGTTCCTTGGCTGCTGCTTAAAAGGTCAAGACCATTCTTTTAAGAATGACATAAATGCTTATTTTTAGGAACTTGATTAACTATTGCGGAAAAACTTTAAACATTATTTGCGGTATGTACTTTCATGAAGAATTAAGTTTTATTGTTACACTGGTATGCACATGCCATTCACATCCAAGAAACTAGCAAATACATTCTCTCTGAAATAGTCAAAAATGTCATTTTCCTGTGTTATATAAATGCTAATATTCATGTAATAATGCTGTTAACAACCAGGTCAGCTAATCAGCATTGCACAAGCCAAAAGCTCTATCAAAACCAAAGGCTGGGGCAGCGACAGTTCCATTCTTCACTTGCAAGGCAGTGACTTCCAAAAATAAATTTTCTCACACGTAGCTGCTGAAGCAACAAAATCTTTATGGGCAGCAATATTTTCCTTTGTCATATAGTGCACCTTGTACATATATACTGTGCTGTATTTTTAAGTAATAAAAAGGGCTTCGTATAAAAGTGCAAGTCAGATATTACTGCTTAAGGTTACATGCTCTAGGAAGGAAGGAAGAACAATTCTGCAGACTCATTGAAACTGACTTAATGGCAGGTTCCTGCTGAGTCAATAACAGGAACAACTTGTTTCTAAGGTGATCACTTACCACTACAGAATGTCTCTCTGTGTTCTCCACACATCCAAGTATTAACCAAGTATCTTCTCTTTACTCTTTTTAGCTTGACTTATGGGTTACTTTTCTGTTCTGTCCTACTAACAGAGGAGTTTTGCACTTGTGAGCATCATATACACTAATCTTAGAAGTCAGAGTCGGCTTCCTTTGCAGGGAGCTCTTGTACAAATTGAAACCCTACAGAACTTTGGGTCAGTCTGAGCAAAGTATTCTGTTTTTTTCCATGAAACAGGATCCAGCATGACTGCCACTAATGAAAATGACATTGGATTAGTGTAATCTCTTTCTGGCCCAGCAGTGATACTGGTGCAACATCACTTCCCCTAGCAATCTCTTGTAAACTGGCCTTGGTTTTTGCTAAGAACACATTAGTATTTGTTTCTTTTGATAGTCAGGCCACAAGATTTAGCTTGAATTAAGTGGGTGTGTAAATCTAGCCCAGTTCCTTGTGGCAGGAAATTGTTTTACAGGGTTTATGTTGTACTGACAAAGAAAGGCCATTTGTGTGATTGCATGGGTTTCATGCAGTCCTGAGTTGGAATTAGTTCAGCCATTACCATCTTACTTCAGTCTGCGGCTTCTCGACTTCTCTGTCTTTGGATGTTTGATTGGAGTGGCTGAGCTGCCTCTGGAATGTGAAGTGCTAATCAGGAGACCTCTCAGAGTGGTAAGAGGTTAAGCTGTATGATGAGATGCGTATTAGCTTTTTTGATATCATTAAAGGTAAAGGTAAAAGTTTCCCCTTGACATTAGGTCCAGTCATGCCTGACTCTAGGGGGCGGTGCTCATCTCCCATTTCCTAGCCGAGGGAGCCAGCGTTTGTCCGCAGACAGTCTCCGTGGTCATGTGGCCAGCATGACTAAACACTGAAGTGCACGGAACACTGTTACCTGCTCACCGAAGTGGTACCTTTTTATCTACTTGCATTTGCATGCTTTCGAACTGCAAGGTTGGCAGGAGCTGGGACGGAGCAACAGGAACTCACCCTGTTGTGCAGATTCGAACCGGCAACCTTTCGATCGACCAGGCCAGCAGCACAGCAGGTTAAGCCACTGCGCCACCTGCAGTCCCCTTTGATCTTGGGTTCCTTGCAAGAGGAAGAAAGGCAGGATATAAATGCAATGTGATATCATTATCACATTGCATTTATATTCTGCCTTTCTTCCTCTTGAAAGGAACCCAAGGCAGCTTACGAGTTTCTCTGCTTCCACATTTTATCCTCAAAACAACAACCCTGCAAGGTACCTTAGGCTGTGAGTCAGTGGCTGACCCAAAGTTACCTCATGAGCTTTCATGGCCAAGTGGGGACTGAACACGGATTTCTGAGTCTTAGTCCAACACTCAAACCACCGTGCTACAGTTGCAGGTTTTTTTCAGCTTTTGCAGCGTGGCAGTACTCTATTGCAAATTTTAAAAAAATTCCAAGTAGTTTTGTTCTGCTTTTGTAACTTCCCGCTCCAATTCTGAAAAGATGTAATAAGAAATTAATGAACATCACAATATAAGGTTTAAAAATCAGTCCAGAAACTAGAATAAGTCCATTTCTCAACACACATGCATCACCTACAACCCTAACTGCCCCCCCACCCCCGAAGGATACAGGTCTTGACTTGCTTCTAATAGGTGAGCAAAGATGGGGCTCAGGAGATCTCCCTTTGCACCACGGCAGGGATGGACTTGTGCCTCTCAGCTGAGGGACACAAAGCAGGCTGATGTCAGGAGGTGGTTCTTAATAGTGATGTAGAAGGTTACTCTGTGAACACATGAGAGATGGAGCACTGTGCCCTGCAGCCTCATTGCACCTAAGCTGGTCAGTTTGGAGGCTCACATGCATTATATGCATGGAATGAGGTGTGACCGCCCTTGCTACCATAACCTTCCACCATGTGGAGGGCTGATTTTGGCCATCTAGATAAAGCACCTGGGAGAGAAGCAGGCTGGGATGCTTCAGGAATTGGCATAAAGCCCCAGGCCCCCCTGCCCTCTCCTCTGCTCCCCACCCCTCTGCTCCCCACAGCAGTCGATTTTGGTCTCTCTAAGACCCAGTTGCAATTTCAGTCTTTGGAGTCCTAGCTCCTAAATGGGGGGTGCAAGAACTTCTCCTTCAGGGAAGTATTCAAAGAATATTGCTGTAGATTTGCTGTTCCATTTGTAAGCTTATAATATAGTTTTAATCATTTTTATGGAAGGGGTTTTGTCTTCTGTCCCACATGCTCCCTTAATTAGAGTTTTGGTGTTTTGGCCAGTTCTATTTTCTTTCAAATGTACTTGCATTTTTAGATTTTACAGTTTCCTTAGGGTTATTTTCCCTGGCTCTGTAAAAAAAAAGATGGGGAGGGAAACGGTTTCTAAATGCTATAAAAATGCCCAATTACTATGTTTACCATATTTCAACATTTCACTTTCAGTCATTGTAAGAGATCTTTCTAGTAGCAAGTGTCAGGTTTTCCTGTACCTCATGGAATACACTTCATGTTCAGTTCACCTCACTTTCTACCTTGCTTGCCAATTCTTAAACTAGATAGAAACTCTTTCAATACTGGGAACTGGAGCAGAGAGGGCTCTTATCTGTGTCACAAGGATTTACGATTGAGCGTTATGTGACCTCTTATTACTCTTTCTCCTGTTTGCACATTCATCATGGCTTAAACAAGCCATGGCACACACCTCTGTTGCGGTGTTTCTTCCTCCACCAAGCCACTGTGGCTTGTTTAAATTGTGGTGATAATTCAAACCAGGTCTCTCGATTTCTTTCTCTTTCTTCATACTCAAAAATGGCATTACGTTTTTGCGACATTTATAATCAAAAAGGTTTTATTAGTAAATGATCTGGGTTTTCAGATTAAGTATGATTTAGATTAGAACCACAGTGGTGCCTCGTATGTCGAATGACCCTTAGTTTGAACATTCTAGAGTTTGAATGCTTAAATCGAGCTAAATTTGTTTTGAGGTTTGAACAATGCTTCTACGTTCGAACTGCATGAGTGGTGAAAAAATTGCGGTTGCTACAGAAACGTCATCTGTTGTGTGCCCAAGATCATTTTCAGTGCCTTTTAAAGCATTTTCAGTGCCTTTTCTCACTTTATTTTTTGGTTTTATATCTATAACCACTACATACTTCATAGAATCATAGAAGAGTTGGAAGGGACCATGAAGGCCATCAAGTCCAACCCCCTGCTGTTGCAGGACACCATGTTACACCATCCCACTCAGATGGCTATCCAGTTTCTTTTTGAATGTCTCTAGAGTGGAAGAGCCCACCACCTCTCTGGGCAGCTGGTTCCACTGCCGTATTGCTCTGACAGTGAGGAAGCTTTTCCTGATGTCCAGCCTGAATCTGGGTTGTCTCAATTTGAATTGATTATTCTGTGCCCTACACTCTGGCATTAGGAAGAAGAGATCTTGACCTTCCCCTTTGTGGTAGCCTTTGAGGTGCTTATAGAGGGATCTCATGTCCACCCTCAGTCTTTCTTGTCAAGACTGAACATGCCCATTTCCCTCAGTCTCTCCTCCAAACCCTGGATCATTTTTTTGTATTTGTATTTGCTGTTTAAGTTTTTTTGAGATGGGTATTGTTTAAGGTGTGGCAAAGATTATTTCACTTTCCATTATTTCTAATGGGGAACGTTGCTTTGGACTTCGAACGATTCCAACTTTGAATGGCCTTCTGAAACGAATTAAGTCTGAAGTATGAGGCACCACTGTATTAACACGGGTCTGATTCAACTGGAGGAGATTGAGATTGGGCCATCTGATTACTCCCATACCCTCCCTTTCTGCCTGCCAGTCGTTAACCCCCCATGACCCACAATCAATTATATTCATACTGTTAACTGTTATCAACACTAACCAAGATTCACTCCTAAGTCAAGACTTCTAACCAGAGAATAATGCCAGGGGAGAAGCTCTTACTCAGCATCATTAAGGATGCTGAGGAAGGGCCCCTTTGAGTGTATAGTTCTACATTTGTTTCCTGGTATGTTGTCACATCTGCCTCAGCTCTGAGCTGTGGCAGAATTGCTTTAGGCAGCTTTCTCCAGAGGAGCAGTCTCTTTCCATGATGGCAAGAGCCATCTCTTTCTGCCATAATGGCTGTAGGTTTTATTAGATAATCTTCAGTTTGACACGGCATCTCTCCCTGTTTGGTGCAACAGGGAAATGTTTGTAACTAGGCTTTGAAGATGTCATCTTCTGTGTTTACCTTTTTAATGATAAAAGGGAGAATGAAAACAAGCAAATGAGTGGGGAATATCTTGAATTTTGAGTGGCTTTCATATACACATTAATGTTAATTGTTGATTTTATACTGTAATGACTGCCCACAAAGCATGTTGCTAAGAGGAGGCTTTAAACAAATTTAGTAATAAAAATAATAAATACAGAGGAACATGTATTTGCAAAGCAGCCTATTTGAGGGCATGATTGAAGACAATTCTTGAAGCTGTTTTCATTTGTTGGCATTCCATCTACTAATGTCGCTCTGCCCTCTCTCTTACAGCCTTTTTTTGCATTTTTAAATCAAGAAAAGTTATCTGAAAATGGCTGGCTGGTTTACAATCCCATGGTTGAATACAGGAGACAAGTAAGTTATTTTTCTGATTGTTTTGTTTATATTTCTCTACTAGCTTTTTTTAGAAGGACTTTAAACATTGAGATCATTTCTTCAGGTTTCTTTACATAGTAGAGTTAATTGGGTTAAATGGAAACAAAAATAGAACATTAGAACTTTTTATTATGGGTTTATTATTACGAACCCTGGAAAGCAGAGCTACTGAAATAATCTTACATGACTGTGATATTGAACCTATGTTTGTAAGCTGTACTTTCCCTAACAACAAGTGTTGTTAAAAAGTGGGTATCCTAGATTCATTTCCTATTTATATGAATGTGTTTTTATCTCTGCCTTGAGGATGAAGCTATCACAGATTCCCTTATGCACCTTAAATTTCCCAAGATTTTTGAAAAAGTTGCATGTAGAGTTGGTGCACATTTCTGTGCACATAATTTCAGCATGACAAATTTTGTATGTCATGTTGACTTACAAACTTTGACTTGACTTTATGTTGACTTTACTTACAAACTTTCTTTGTAAGTAAAGAAAATGGCCAGAAAATGGCACATCTAACACAACTCATAATAGTTCAAAATCCTAATTTCATACTGTATAATATGCATATATTTAAAAGCTGGATACATGTTTCTACAAAACAAGAAGTCATCTCTTGGATTCCCCCACCCTCACCACTGCGATTTTTCTGATGTATACACAGTCAAGCAAGCATCCAAATAGTATATGAGATTTAGAGTGAAGATTGAAAGAAAGAAAAACAAACCCTGGTCTCTGCGTGTTTATAGACGAGAAACTACTAATTTCTTCTTAGTATTCTAGTAGACTTTGGGTATAGATTCTTCTCCAGCATTCTGTTAATTCTGTGAATGTCTTGGCTGAGAATTATGCTACATTTCTTGAGCGTGGAAAATGTCCTCAACTTCAATGACTCTTAAACCTGCAGAGTAGGTATTTGGGACTTGGAAAGGAGAAGGGGAACTGCAGAGTAAGACTTTCTAAAGAGGTGTTTCCTTTCAGCTTCTTTTCATCACCTTTTCGTAGATTTTCAGGCCAGATAAAATGATTTTTTTTCTTCTGCAGAAAGAGAGCGTCCCGTCATTTTTTAAAAATACAAAAAAAATTGTACACATTTCTGTTTTCATATAGAAGCCTTCTCAAGTTCCTATGGTTAATGGCAAAAGGCGCCCATGTTGCCTGACTGATTCTCTACATCCTCCAGTTTATAAAATGGCCAGGGAACTCATCTTGTTTCATGTGATCACTAATCTTCACATCTAGTGTTCTAGACCCTCACCTCTGTAGATATGTATGATAAATTGGTAGGTTATTGCCCCCCTGTGGCCATAATAGCACATAAATTATGTTTTTTGTCACTTACTCTCCATTTTCTTGTACCTTCTTAAAATAGTCAGTATTGCCTCCCCCCCCCCTTTTTTTTAGGGGTTGCCTAATCTACAGTGGAGGATAACTTTTCTCAATGAGCATTATGAGCTATGTGATACGTACCCATCCCTCCTGGTAGTGCCATTTAATGCTACAGATGAGGATCTCAAGAAGGTTGCTGCATTTAGATCCCGAGGTAGAATACCAGTAAGTGATTTAAACTGTCAGAATCGTTCTGTGTAAGCAGAGGATCATTTTAATTTGTGTAACTTTTTGGTGGGTTCTGCAATGGAAACGAATGCTTATAAGGTGCATGAAAGTTGTCACTGTATGGATTCCTCCATCTGAATGGCTTTAGGATTGCCCAAAGAGTTACAAGCCATCTCTGGGCAACTAGCCAAAGTGGGTGGTTGTGCCATGCAGATCTGGACTAAGTCCCCCAGGATGGCTTGTTCAGGAACAACAAGCTATCGTACCTCCCTGTGACTTGTTCTAGGGGTTGCTGGACCCACGATGAGTTGCTCTGTCAACCAGGCCCAGGCGACCAACCCACTGTCTCTCCAGGGAAACACAGGGTGACCTGGCAGGGATGGCAAAAGCCCTGTGCTGCTCTTGCGAAGATTGCTTAGGCTGTCACCAGTGACAGCCACTCGCTCTCCCAAGCGCTAAAAGAGCATTTCATACTGCAGTCACTGACTCACTCACCTCTCTGGTAATTGCAAGCCCCTTTGTGTTCACCACCCCTTCACCTCAGAGACTGCTTTCCATGATCCCCCAAATGGCAGCCACAGATAGCCCCTTCAGAGTGCCCATCTGTTGTTGTTTTCCCTTGCAACTAAACATGTGCAAATATTTCTGTGATTTTGGGAGTGGGGTGGGGGGGGGTTAAGTGGTAGTTTTCTGGAGTTGTACAAGTATGCAACTCTAGGCAGCCAAATTGTGAAGGTTTGTCTGTGCTGTATCTGCTTAGCTTCCTGTTCACTCAGTCCTGTGGGCATCAACCATGGACCAGGAGTCTGCAAATAGGTTATTGTGTAACTTGGTCACTTGACAGCTGTTAGAGAGCTAACAAGGGAAAGCTACAGGGGGATCTTGCTCACAAAGGAGTGGGATTTTCCCACTCCTTTCACAGTGATTCATCAGGGTTTTAATGTTCCCCCAGAGTTCCCAGTCTTCCCACATTTTCTGCACTTTCCAAAGCCTCCAGACATTTGGGAATGTGGACCACCCCCTTTTTGTGAATATTTCCTTTGATAGCTGTCAAAAGGAACACATTTCTTTTTAAAGTTGCATGACAGGTGGCCACATTTAGTTTTGCTCCCATAAATCTGGGGTTGCCATCAGGGCAGGCTGAAGGGATAAGGTGGCTGCAGCAGCCATGTTTCCAGGATACCTTCTGGAGGATCGCGGAGGAAGGGGGGGACAGCAGGTGATCAGCTGTGCACCCCATCTCTCTGGTGCTCTGTGTGTTTTTCCATGGACCACCTACACTGCATAGTTACAGTGTTGGGTGAACTCAGTTGTTTGCTTTACTATTGACTGAATAGCTAATTGTAGAATTGGCTAGTACCTTAAAGATGCAGTCTGGCCTGTCCCTTAGTAACCTGGCAGGGACTATTGTTTAGCTAAACACAAATTTAGCTGGCTTTAATGCATTGTATTTACAAAATGTTTTACTTAACTGAAAGCCGTTATGAAGTGATTTACAATGAAACAAAAACAGAAACCTCCATATATGGGGGTGGGGGGAGATGGAGAATGGGAACAGACAATTATGCAGTTCTCACATGAACTGGACTTGAACTCCTCTACAAATGTTTTCTTGTTGAAAAAGCCCTGTGACTATTTCTCAGCCATTTTCTGAATAAAACTCTCATTCTCCATGTCTGTTATTTTGCCTGGGTATGCATTGGGCACCACCTTCTTTGAACCTGAATATTTGGGAGTGTATTAAAGGTTATCCCTTCCACACTCAACTGATGCACCCTTTAAAATAGTACCTTGTTTTAAGGACCCACATGTTCGGCTCTTAAACCAGGGGAGGGTGGCTCCTTTCTGTCCAGTGGCTGGATTAGCCCTCCCTGATCAGAGAGGCATGGCCCCATCCCAGACTCGCCTGTGCCTCCCATGATGTCATGCTCCCTGTGAGTTCACATGTACTTTCCATGCGGAGAGGCCTGGACCTTGGGCTGCTCAGCTGGGAGGCCAGCCAGCTCCTGCAGAACACAACCAAGTAGGGCCAGGGAATCCCCATTCACGAAGGGCTGTTTGTGTTGCTCACCCTGTGATCAGCAGTGTGTGCGGCACAGGGGAATCCCTCCGTTTTCTGGCCTGAAAGACAACCTGGAGATTTCCTTTCCCCCAGTGGGAGGGGCTTTGAGAGGACAGGATGCAGCCTGTGGAGGTAGAATCACACCCCAGAATGGGCCAGAATAAGACCTTTAGAAAGGAGGCTGCTCCCCCTGATATGCAAACACTGTGCAATGGCCCTACAGAAAAGAACTTCCCATGGTGTTGAAGGGACCCCTAAGCATAAGTCTGAAGGCTGCTGTTAGAAGCAGCCTCCTACAGATGAAGAATCTGCAGAAAGCACTCTTAGAAACCATCCAGGCTCTAACAGAAGCTTTTGTGCCTCTTGATTAGGTGTTGTCATGGATCCATCCGGACAACCAGGCTGTCATCACACGTTCCAGCCAGCCACTTGTTGGCATGAGTGGCAAACGAAACAAAGATGATGAAAGGTATTTGGAGATCATACGGGAAACAAATGGCCAAGTTTCGAAGCTGACGATCTATGATGCAAGGCCCAGTGTAAATGCTGTAGCTAATAAGGTAAGCAGAACTCTTCAGCCTTTGTCTCACTACAGTGAAGGGTTAAGGCACGATAGGGCAGGAGCCCCAAATCTCTGGGAGGCCATCTGCTTCGCCCCTCAGCACTTGTCAAAATTAAGACGCGGGGCCTCTGAGGTTCTGTGTTGCATCTCATCCCCCTGGATTAGCTGGCTCTTTGCCGCATGAGCTTTGCTTCTGCTGCACCCCACTCCCCGAATCTTTCTGCCTATGCCTTTTTTCTGATAGCACACGCCCTCTGCCTCCCCGTCCATTCGCCCCTTTTTACAAGTAGGGGTGTTCCGAGGATGGATGCACACGCACACTTTGGCGCTCGTATAAATTTGCACCTGTAAAAACCAAAAGAAAAACCCTTTGGGCCTGAGCCCTGAATCCTTCGCTACCAGTCCCTGGTTAAATTCTTTTTATTTAAGTTACGCTGTAAAATGGGTGCGGCTTCAGACTGCTGTTTGGATTTTCAATCTGCAAATGGCATTTCATTCCACACAGTCACTGCTGGTGGTTGACCAAAATGTTATCTTTTTGTCACAGACATGTGGTAGGAATGGAAGTTCCTGCTAGCGAGATTGAAATTCTGCCGTCAGGGCTACTGGTATCTGTAAACACTCGCCTATTTTAAACATCTCTGCTTTGCTTGTATTTATAAGTCAACTCTAAGCAACTTGCAAAACTAACTTTAAAGAAGAAACTAGAACAATAAAGTATAGTAGACATGAATACTAAGTTTCCCGTGAAGCTGAAAGAGATAATCAGCTCATTCGGTTCCCCTCCCCAAACACTGGCTTAAACAGGAATAGGTTGAAACCTTACAGAGGCCAAAGAGTTCATTTCTTTATGTTTATTATATTGATACTCCTACTTTTTCCTTCAAAGAAGCTTACATAATTCGCTGCCTCTCCATCTTATCCTCACAACAACCCTGTGAGGTAGCCTTGGCAGAGAGTCGGTGACTGATCCACAGTCACCCAGTGAGCTTTGTGATGGAGTGGGGAGTAGAATTTAGTAATGCTAGCAAATCCAAAGAGACAGGTGATTTTGCAGAATATTAAAAACACAAATACATACACTTGTTATGCAAAACATATTTTACTGTGTCTGGTCCCATTTTTCTTTGGAATATTTTGATCCAAGTAGCACACAGTATTTTTGACTTAAACTTTGCAAACAGTGGAAGAATTCACTGCTCTAAATCCTTAAATGGGAAAAAATGCAGAATTTAGAAGTTGTTTATGAGAAGTTTAGTGGATACATTCTTTCCCTCCTGCATTCTGGCTACTCCCTTTGCTTTGTTGTTTTTTGATCCACACCCTGGGATTACTCAGTCACTTCCACAGCTAAAATTAACTGCCTCTCTCTCTCTACTCCAGACAGAAAGGGCCTATCTAAGCTTTCGTAACATACTCCACAGCGTAGATAGAAATACTTGCTTTTCCCTCAAGTTAAGATAAATAGGCTAGCTTTTACTCTAGTTTAGGAAATACGCCGACACCAAATGCCTTGGAAAGTCTGTTCAGAGTTTCCATAACTCCTTAGGGGAGTGTGCGTTTGCTCTTTTATTCTCCAGTACCAGCCAGGGAGCACACTTAACAGCCACACTATTTAAGAAGCTTATGGAAACTTTGACCATTTTCTTTGTAGTGCCATTTAATTATTTTTAAGAAGTCTTGGCAAAAGTATAATCTTGAGGCCATTGAACTGGTAAAGATTTTATTAGAAGAACCTAGCTTTCAAAATGGAATTAGATGGTCCTGAGGCTGTGATGAAAAGCAATATTTATTGGACAAATGCTAATGATGTCAAAGGATATCAAATCTGGGCACATTTCATAATGTTTTAGAAACATAGCAATTCAGAAGGGGCCTTCTTGACCATCCAGTCTGACCCCTGGCTGCAGCTTACTCTGCTAATGTAATACCCAACAAGTGGATGTCCATTTTTTCCTTGAACACCCTCACTGATGGAGTCCCCACCACCTCCCGTAGAAGCTCATTCCATGTCCTAGAGGTTGTATCAGGAAGTACTTCATGACATCCAACCTGAAACCCAGTTTCTCCACTGCAAGGGAGAACAGGTCATGACACCACTGTGTGTACTGTGGTACTGTGGTGTACTGTGTGACACCACTTCGTATAGCTATATATCACGATAAGATCCCCCTCCCCCGAGTCTCCTCTTCTCCAGGCTGAAAAGACCTAGCTCCCTCGATTTCATCTGTCATCCCCCAAATCCAGCTACCATTCCTGTGACTGATCTGATTCTAACCTAATTATGTCTCTCTTATAATATGGAGCCCACAGTCGGACATAGTATTCCAGATGTGGACACACCAGTCTTATAGAATAGTGCCAATATCTCTCTTGATCTGGAAGCCACGCTTCTGGCTATACATCCAAGGGTGGCATTTGCCTTCTGCATCACCTGTTTAACCTGCTATCGACAAGTATCCTGAAATCTCTTTCACAGGTTCTGCTCTCCAGCCACTTGTCCCCTATCCTGTACCTATGGCACCTATACCTGAATCGCAAGTGCAAGACCTTGCACTTATTTGCATTGAAGGCCATTCTGTTGTCCCCTGCCCACTTACACAGTCTGTCCACATCTTTTTGCTGCCTAGATGTGGCCACTGCCCCCACTTTGCTATCGTCTGTGAATTTGGTCAGCAGACTGGTTACTCCCTCCTCCAGATCATTGATAAAAAGGTTGAAGAGTATCAGCTCCAGAATTGAGGCCTGGGGCACTCCACTTGTCACCAGCTCCCATCCTGATGATTCCCCACCGATAATCACCCTCTGCTTGAGGTCCATCAACCATGCCCTAATCCATTGGACAGTGCATCAGTCCCAAAGCTCATCAATTTTTCAACCAGGATACTGTGCGGCACCTTGTCAAAAGGCCCTGCTGAAATCCAGGTAAAGCACATCCACTGCATCCCCTCCATCTAGTCACCTTGAAACCTTGTCATAGAATTCCACAGGGTTCGTCTGGCAGGACCTTTTTGCAGAAGCCATGTTGCATGGCTGCCAACCTCCCTTCCCTATCTAGGGTTTCTAGAGCTCTCCTTATGAACTTTTCCATCATCTGTCCCAGAATGCACAGAAGACAAGCTGATCTGTAATTCCCTTAGTCTCCCCTGCTACCTTTTTTGAAGATTGGGACCACTGACACTACCCTCCAGTCCTCCAGTACGTCTCCTGATTTCCATGAGGCCTCAGAATTGAAGGCCAATGGATGCTAAAGTACCCCTGCCAATTTCTGAAGTACCCTTGGGTACAACCCTTCAGGAGCAGGTGCTTTTGTAACATTCAGGGCCCTGAGGAGCTCCTCAACTTCTAGGGGAGTGATTTCAATCTGTGCCCCCGTAATCCCAACCTCATTCGACCCCCCAGCTAGATTTCCCCAACCGGCTTTGGGGAGAATACAGTAGCAAAATAATCATTTAACATCTGTGTCTGTTCCGTTACATTAGTTACCAGATCCCCTCCTGCACTTTTAAGTGGCCCCATTGCCTGTCTCCCCTTCCTTTTATTAATTACATAAAAATAGATGCCCTTTTTGTTGCTCTTGACACTCTTTCCAAGTCTCAGCTCATAATCAGCTTTCACCTTGCGAAGAATCCTTCTGCCTCAAGCCACCTCTTCTTGGTATACCTTTTGCCCACTTGCCCCAGTGTCCATTTCTTGTGGGGGTTCTTCTAATTTCTCTTGCCACCTCTCTTCTTATCCACAATATTTGCTAATTAGTGGTATAGTTAAGGCTTGCCCCTCCAAGACCTCTGTTTTTAGTGCCATGCACCCCTCCTGAACTCCCTTGCCTTCCACCATCCTCTCCCAGGAGACATCTCCTAGCCGCCTGGCCTTCAGTTGACTAAAGTTGGCCCTTGTGAAGTCCCATCTTCTAGTACTTGACCTACTGCTGATCCCTATTCTCCTGATCTTGAAGCATAGGATGGAGTGGTCACTCGCATCCAGAATTTTCCTAATCTGCACATCATTCACAGGATCTTCCCTGTTGGTCAAAACCAAGTCTGGGATGTTTCCTCCTTGTTGTCTCCTGAACTCTCTGAGTGAAAACCCCTCCCCGCATAGCTACTAGGAAGTGATGGGACCTAGTCACTTCCACCACTGAGTGCGTCTCCCAACTAATACCAGGGAGGTTGAAATCTCCCCTTATAACCATGTCCCTCTCCTTCACTTCCAATTTCCTCTATCAGAACATTGTCCAGGACCTCGAGTTCACCCAGTGGTCAATATCGTATTCCCCACTGTCAGGTCCCTTCCACCATCATGTTTCCTTGATCCCCTCCTATTCCCAGGAGAGCCTCAAGCTCTTCCTGCTTGTTTTATTTGCTCCTAGTGTTGGTGTGCATGCATTTCAGCTCTTTCTTGCCAGTCCACGGGGTGCAGGATGTGACCTCCTCATGGACTGGCAGGAAATCCCCCACAGACCAGCGCTGACCTGTGGACCAGTGGTTGGAACCCTCCTCTAGACCCTTCACCTTCTCCTGAAGGAGGGACACCAACTTGCACTTAGTGCAAGTGTACATCCTGGCTCCTCCTGGGAGAAGTAGGTGAACATGACACAGGTGCCACAGGTGACTGCAACACCTGTCACTACCTTCTCCTGGTGTGCCATAGGCCACCCCTCAGTGATCCTTATATCTGCTCCCCCTGCTGGCTTGTCTTGCCTACCCGACCCCTGCTTGAGGCTGGATACCCTGTTCCCTCAGGGAAGTCTGTGTCCCCTGGGGAAGAGAGTCCCTGAGCAACCTGGGCCACAACTAAGGGATGCAGACAAGGGACCGTGCCCTTGTTGCATCCGCCTTAGCGCATTGCCAGTCGGTGCCACGCCGTTGGCTGTTCTAGGCCTAAAGTAGGCCTCGTGGGCAGCCTTGCGCCCAGCCCTGCCCCTCCCGCTTTGCCAGGAGTCTGCTGGGTCTACGTTGACACAGCGTGCCTTCCAGCTCCTACCTTTCCTTCCCTGGGTCCCTTGCTGCTCTTCTGCACTTTTCTTCGATGCAAACTGGCCTTCCTTGGGCTAGAAGGAAATGCATGTCTAGTTAAGTCTTCTGGTCAAAATGCTTGGGTAGCTTATTCTTTTTTTATGTGTATTGATTCATCCGTTGCATTTAGTAGATATATCAGCCAAGCAGAAAGCGTGTCAAAATATTCGAATGAATCTGAATTCAAGTTACTTTTTCCTACAGTTTTTTCCTATGCTTAAATATTAACTTACGTTTGTCTTTTTAAAGCAACAGTTGTGCTTTACTTTATATAATTGTATGAGGCTGCAATGCTGCTGTGATAGAGGCTGAGCATTCACTTCCTCTCCTGACTCCCAGGCAACTGGTGGAGGATATGAAAGTGATGATGCCTATCCCAATGCTGAGCTGTTCTTCCTTGACATCCATAATATCCACGTCATGCGGGAATCCTTGAAAAAGCTGAAGGACATTGTTTATCCTCACGTAGAAGAATCTCACTGGTTGTCTAGCCTGGAGTCAACTCACTGGCTTGAACATATCAAGGTATGGCTTGAAGCCGGTGGCATTGGCCTGGTTTCACAATCCATAACTGGATTACAGTCTTAGTTACTTAAGTAAAATTGCCTGTCAGAAGTCTTGGGGTTATTCTGACACACATAGTTCTTGGTTGCTTATTCTTCCTCTCCATCAGCTTGTCTTAACAGGTGCCATTCAAGTAGCAGACAAAGTGTCCTCTGGAAAGAGTTCAGTCTTAGTCCACTGCAGTGACGGTTGGGACCGTACAGCTCAGCTGACCTCCCTAGCTATGTTGATGTTGGATAGTTACTACCGAACAATTGAGGGATTTGAAGTCTTAGTCCAGAAAGAATGGATAAGCTTTGGACACAAGTTTGCTTCGGTAAGCATGAATAAAAACTGTGCTGAAGAATTAACACCATCACTTCTCTGCTTCAGTTCTCTTTTCTCTAACGGATGAGACCTCCTTGGCTTATCTATAGGGGAGTTTGTAAATGCTACTGGGAGAATTTATGTGACGTGTTTAGAACACACAAACATGTGATTTAACTGCTAAGTATTCTGTTTCTAGAGTTAATTGTTGGTGAGAGTTGTGAGGCTTTTTCCCTGTCTAAAGTTGCATAGGGTTGTCCCTTTTAAATTTGCCTCTGATCAGGAGCAATCACAATGCCTTCCCAGAATTGTGCCTTGTGAAGGAGCAAAGCTCACCATCAGAGATGGACTGTTTCCTGATAGGTACACCATTTGGTCATGTTTGGAGGTGAATATTCCTGTAAAGTGGATGCATGTTAAATTAGGCAGAATTCAAGGCACATCTCTGAGAGAAATTAACTCAAAGTGCTGCTACTTTGGACCAGCTCAGAAGATGGCTGAAGGTCTGCTGTGACCCATTGCACAGAGATACACACTTTCTGGTTCTGCTAGCCACATGTTCCTGTCAGGGTGGAACCCCTGCATAACCTGCTCTTTTAGAAATCAATGATAGGACTACATAATGGAGACATCATTTCCTCCGGGTGGCAAGCCCATCCACACACTTCTGAAGCGGATGTTCATTTATTTCCCAGCTCTGCTGTCAACTAGAAAATCCCCAGTTTCAATTTCCTCTCAGTTGTGAACTTGCCCAGCCAGAGCGGACCTTCAGCTATTGTCAGCCATCTGTAATATGAGGATAATATCGTCAACTTAGCACGTAGAGTGTTCTTAAGCATTACTGGCGCGTGTATCGAATTCTCTGAACCACTGATAGTATATGCTGCATAATGGAAGGCAACCATCAGGGTCATAGCGTAATTTTATGGCACATGCCTTGACGTTCCTATGCATTGAATTGTGAGCTCTCTTTGGGAGCCTGTGCCTAAATGTATTTTGTAGGCTGACTGATAGGAGACTGGATACACCAGAGTTGCTCTGGCACTTATTTGAATTACAGGCTCACAGTCTGTACTCATAAGTCACTCCTCCAGCAATGTGTTGGTTGTGACATTTTACAGAAACTTTTGAGATGGCATTTCTCTATGTACAACATGGCCTGGAAAAGCATTAGCTCTCCTCTGACTCTTCTTAAATTTTAAGATTCTTGCCATATCCCTCTAGCTTTAGAATATGAAAAGAATAAAACTTATGGTAAATAGGAGGAGGATTAAATCCACATTTGTAAGAGCTGGACTGTTGCACTACATTTGTTGATTTAACATTGATCTAAAGAATAGTGTTTTGTGTCTCACTATCATGTGCATAAACATGATTTATCTGAGTTAGTTTCCCATTCGGCCATTAACATGAATTTGGACCATCAAAGTTAACTGTGTTCTTGAGCAGATTTTCCCAGACCAAGGAGATGTGGCTTTTAAATCTTTGCCGTAAGCAAAACCACATTGCTGTATAGGCACATAACCGAAAATTTGGCAGCTGTTTCAGTAATAAACTATTATACCCTTTGAAAGCAGCTCCAAGTCCATTTTAAAGATCTCTGCTCTTGACATCTAGTTTCAAGTTGTTAGGAACTGGGGTTGGCTTTGGAGATGTTCTATTTAATTAATGAAAGTTGATGCTTTAGCAGTATTTCATTCAATTTTTATAAAATGGGGATTTGTGGGGGTGGTTGTGGGAAAGTTGTAGAATAGGAGTGTTTCTGTAAGAATTGTTAATAACTTTCTTGTATTTCATATTACTATTTTATTTATGATCTACAAATTGTAAATTGTGGAATTCCTTTTCCCAACGGGAATTGGATCACCATTATCTGATAAAGTTTCTTGAACTGTTAAACTAGGAGAAAAAGCTATAGATAGAGGACATAATCCAGTCAACTTTGCCTTGAAATTAGCTGAAAAGCTGAAAATTAGCTGGCTTTTGCTAGAGAAATTCAAGGACATTTCAGCCAAAATGGAGCACCTATGAAGTCCTGTTTATTATGTTTTTGGGTGACAATGCCTTGCTGTAATACATATTCTGTGGCTTGAGGAAAGAAGGGGGACCATAACTTGGGCTATATTTTCTTAATCCATTAAGGAATATCCTGTAAATACCTACATTTGCTGTATTACCATCTTTTGGACTCTACACACACACACACACACACACACACACACACACACACACACACAGAGTTTGGTACATCTTTACTCATTAAGATTTTCTCTCGGCTCCATTCAGTAAAAGGGGATTAAAATTCATTCTTAAAGTTCTGTGGAAAGGTCAGTAATTCCAAAGTCAGAGTTAAGTGGGATTTGTGTGATTTTCATTTCAGCGAATTGGTCATGGAGACAAAAATCACGCCGATGCTGACAGGTCCCCCATCTTCCTCCAGTTCATTGACTGTGTGTGGCAGATGTCTAAACAAGTAAGATCTGTTCCCAAATGACAGTATAGTGAGAAATGTAATTCTGCTTACTTCCCTTTGGTTTTACCTATGTAAATTGTTACGAGGTTGTCTTCTCAGTAATGCACTCATTCTGCAGAGCTATAAATGCGTGCTAGAAAAACTTAAGTTGTCTTTAGCCTGTTCCCAGGCTGCTTAGCTCAACTTGGGAATTTTCACTGCCCATAAACTGGTTTGGGAACTTCACTTATCTTTAGAGGCTCTTCTTGCCATCCCGCCAGAAGATTGGGTACTGGAGAGGTCTTTCTGATGGTGGCATCCAGACTAAGGAATAACCTCCCCAGGGAGCTGGGTATGAATTTTGCCTGCTTTCTTAAGACTGTTGGTCAAAGGCTTTTCTAAGACTTCTCATTTCTATTCTTAGTTTCTTGGTTTCTTTTTATACTGCTTTTTGCTGCATTGTGTTTTATTGTTGTAGTAGTTTATACAACCTGGTGTTCTTCATCATGGTCTCTGTGCATCACACATATACAGGTGCTGTGCCTGTGCAGTGCCTCTTGTTGGGAAGTTTGGGGTTTTCAAATATAATATTGAAGCAACACTTGAGAATGCATTGGAGAAATGGACAGAAAACAAATAGTAATTCATTTTGGTTCTATTCTAATTACTTTTCCCCTGTGACATGTTAATTTTAATAGAGCTCTAAAATTTGTTGTCTTTGCATCCAGTTTCCAACGGCTTTTGAATTCAATGAACAGTTTTTGATTGCAATTCTGGATCACTTGTATAGCTGCCGGTTTGGTACTTTCTTGTACAGCTCCGATGCTGTAAGAGAAAAAGAGGTAAGTTAGTGAAGTGACTTGCAACATGAAACCTGCATGTCTTTAATAAGTTACTTTAAAATCACATGTTGTGAATAGCTGGATCTGGTAGCAGAAGTGTTCGGATGAAATAAAATGGATGTTAGACTGCTAGCAAAAAGCGGGTTCAACCAAGATGGCTGTGGTCTCCCATTTCAGAGGCAGTATGTCTCTCAGTCCTTCTGACTGAAGAACACAAGCGGAAGAGGGCCATCGTGCTGCTGTCTAGCTGGTGGGCCTCCCACAGGCATCTGCTCAGTCGCAGTAGGAACAGGATGCTGGACTAGATCTTTCTTTGTTCTGATCCACATTTAAGAATAAGAAGATGCATTTTAAAGAAGGCACACGTATCCACACATACATAATGGCTATGTGGAATGCAGAAGTGCATGGTTGCCAAATTCAGTACCTGAAACTGATACTGACAGTTTCATTTTCTTTACAGAAACTGAGTGAGAAAACATTGTCCCTGTGGTCTCTGATCAACAGTGCAAAATCGAAGTATACAAACCCCTTTTACTCAAAAGAATTGAATCGTGCTCTTTATCCTGTAGCAAGCATGCGACACTTGGAGCTTTGGGTAAATTATTATATTCGGTGGAACCCAAGGATTAGGCAACAGGTAAGCTTTTTCTTTTAGGGATTTTTTGGAAGGCTAATGTCTTGTTTGTGGCACTTTAATTGATAGGTTCAGAAAACGTTTTTGCAACCAGCTTTCTGTGAAAATACGAAGCTGCTTCTACGCAGTTAGGCCATCTAGCCCAGCAATCTCTTTTCTGAGTGGCAACAGCTCTCCAGGGACCTTGGAACGAATTTCCAAGGCTGGAGCCCTGATTCTGAATTGACCTGTGTAGAAGCCATAGCACTGTTAAGGTATAACTAATTCAGAGCAGTCAAGCAACCCAAGTGAGGCAGGTGCATACAGTTTTAAAACAGCTTCTTTAACTGCTCACCAGATTACTAAAAACAAAAGTTTTCTTGCCTCTAAATGGTAAATCAGGTGGATTCAGCAGTTCAATGGGGAAGCACTGCATGATTTACTATTATCCTGCCCATCCAGACAGAGACCCTTCTGCAACTGCTTACACGTGATAAATACAAAATATATTGACTCAATTGCATTAAATGATACGACACTTATCTACGTATACACTCCCTTCCTTTTAGCCACGCTTTTTAAGCACATGCCACATGGAGTGCACATACCCCTCACCAGTTCCCTTGTTCTTTTCATCTGACATGTGTGCAGGAACATACCAAGACTGCAAGCTCGCTGAAATGCTAGGAAGCTTGGGCTCAGAACTCGTTGTGCAACCACAGCCCCAACTGCACTTCAGCTGCTGTTACACACTCATTATGGCATGTCGGGGCCTGGCTCTGACAAGGTCAGGCACGGAGAGAGGAGATGGGGTGGAACCAGCCTGCAGTTGCTGCTTCCTTCGGCCATCCTTTGTCCCCTGTGCAGCACTCGTGGAAAAGGGGGAAATGGTTGGGGCGGTGAGGCAGGAATGGTTGCCTCTTCGAACAAGATCGGCATTCTGCTCTCTCATGTTGTAAGGCTTCATCGCCTTCTGTGCCTTTCCACAGAGTTTCTGGGAAACAGCTAATGGATCTGTTTGCCTGAAGCTGCAGTAACATAAAGAGAGCAGCATTCTTTAATGGAAAATTACACTGTGTAAGCTGTGGATTAATTAATTTTATTCTGACCAGAAAACCTGCAAGTTTGATTTAAAAAGCACAGCTTTTTCTGAGCTGAGATAAAGCTAGCAGGTTTAGTTTTACTTGTGACACTGGGTAACTGCGAGTTTATGGTTTGCTCATAAATTCTCTGTGGTGTCCTGGGGAAGTTACAATGATCTAACAACTGGATTCCAAATCATGCTCAATTTCTGGATGATGGAGATCTGAGGACTTCGCTCTTGACCAAGACTGTGTTAGCCTATGTAAAACACTGTGTTGGCATGAAGCACCACACAGCTAACCAGCATCCTTTTTTTTTCATCCCACCATTTGCAAATAATCTTGAAAAAATAACTGTACACAGCTGCTGACATGGGCAGAGCCTCTGGCCCAGAAAGAGGGACACCAAGCATGTTCCTTGCAACCGTGGACTGTGGTAGAGTGAGTAACTCTCACAGAACGCTTGACAGCCTGGTTTGGATACAACAGAAGCCCCAAGTCAGGGGTTAAATATACAAAGTGCTGCGAGGCGCACATGGCGACTCACTTTGGTGTGAATAACCCATGGAGGAAGGTTTTGATGGTGCAGACCAACCCATTACTGGAGCAAAGGAACTTCTGTACAAGTCACTGATGAATCTCTCCTTTGCACTTCAAACGTGCCTGAAAGGGGGAACTCGCTTTCTCACATCTGGTACTCACAGATCTTATTCTTTGGGGAAGTTGTGATTTCCTGCTGTAGACATTAAAGCAGAAGCAAGAAAGCAAATGTAGGAAAACTTGCATCTCTGCTTCTCTGAGACAATTTGGGAAGCCAGACATGCCCACACTTACTTGGAAGTAAGTGCCATGGAAGTGGGTTCGGGTTCAGGGAATTGGAGAACTATAGTGACAGGTGAATAATCTCTTCTCTGCCTCACTGTTGAATCCCCACGGTTGCCATTCAAGCGTTTTACATGTTTGTTTGCTGGTTAACTGCTGTTTCAGTGTTGATCCACTGAACAGAAAAAGATGGTACATGCTTGGCTTTTCTTATCCTCAAGATTTGGTAGAACAGCTGGGAGCAAATAGAGAAAAGAGCTTCTGTGTTTGACAAACACAGTCTTTATCAGCAGACCACTAGAAAGGAGCTGCTGTCTTCAGGCAGTGCTTTTCTGTAGTGTGTCTCTGATAGTTTACTGCACTCTAGGGGCTGGAAGAAAGCCAGGCTCTATTCTGTATGGCTTTCAGAGCTGCAGTCACAGAAAAGCTCATAGGTTTCTTTTGAAAATCTGCGAAGTGAAAGTACAAATTCGTTTCCTGGAAGATCTGTGCAAAGTTATTTGTTTTTATCCACAGGCCGTAATAAAGTTTCAGATAAACACTAATATTACAATTGGAAAAAATACATGTTGTACAATAGGTGGTACAGTGCAACTCAAGGGAAATGATAGTTCAGTCTTCCTCGCTGTAGTTGTCAACGAAGACAGACGATGTGCCTGATCGTTTTCATGTCCTCCTTGGCTTGATGACAAGCAGATCAAAGGAATGGGTGGGAGAAGAGTTATGCTGGACTCTGGCTGTTGCTTAAGAGACTTGTGGCAGATGGGCACCAGGGAAGCAAGAATCTTTCGATATGGAAATGGTCTCATCCTTAGAGAAAATTGCTACACTCTAGAGCACAAAGAGTTCATAGTCAACTGTCAAAACTCTAGTTCTCTTACAAGCCTCCCCCTCCTCTGTTTTTTCATCTTCTTTACAAAGCTTCCATTTTTTTTCCCCACAGAGGCAAATGCATTCATTTGGGGCACAAAAAAGGGAGGGGTGAACCACTGGCAGCCTGGGCACCTCCATGGGGCTGTCACTGGGTGGCAAAAGAGAGTTGGCAAAAGTGATCTCTGAAGGAAAAGGAAGTGTGACAGGGTGGAGGAAAGCCTCAGTAAGCCAAAATGGTTCCCAATTGGAGCAGAGAGTGTGGCTTGACTTGCAAAGCTTTCTGGGATGCTGGTTGGCAGAGGGGGCTGGCAATCTACAGTAAGCCCAGTTATCTCTCGGACTCACCTTGGGTGGTTCTCCCAACAGCGTCCAATTTATTGCCAAGGAAGATTGGCATGAGGTTAAACAACCCGCAGTTTATTTCATAGGTTAAATAATTAACCCATAGTTTTTGGGATTTACACATCATGAATCTGGTTGGGGTGATTGGAGGCCCCAATCCAGTCTTGCTAGCAAGATGGGTTAATCAAGAAACTGTTCCTTCTGGACAGTGGAGAACTAGGAAGGTTGTGTTTATTTTAAGACCGCATGTGGTCAACATGACAGCTGTCTGCACATATGGACTTAAAGATGAAGGCTTTTATTAATCTATTTAAAAATTAAAAGATTATGGTGGGTCTTCAGTATAGGATCAACATAATGCATTTTAAATGTTTAATTATGTCTAGCAGCCAAACCCAGTTGAACAGCGTTACATGGAGCTACTAGCACTGCGTGATGACTACGTGAGGAGGCTAGAAGAACTGCAGATCAAAAACAATCCGAAACTTTCCAATTCCTCCTCCTCCTCGTCTTCCTCACAGATGATGTCGCATGTGCAAACTCACTTTTGAAGGAGACTGGTTTGATTTTTTCTTTGAACATTTTCATCATAAGTGGTGCTTATTCTAATGAATTGAACATGAGGAAAATATTTGATGCCTTATGTAAAGCTTCTTGCTGAATCTGACTGTATAGGAGAGGAATTGAATACAAGCAAGCTTTTATAAAATGGATTTATGTGCCTTTCAGAAATGTTTGGCTGGGAACGTGTTATCCAACTAGTAATTACAATATTTTTAATGGTTCTTTTTCTTCTGCAGCATCCAAATATATTTAACTAATGCTTTCAATAATAACCATCAACCATTTAGAATAGTATAGATGGATTTGCATCGATAGGCTCTGCCTTGCTCAGACTTAAAAATCATACTTAAGTTCATACAGTGAGCAGAGTGCCAGCCCATGCCAGTAAGGACTTTGCTGAGTCATACACAGAAAGCTTTGGAAAAGGAGGCAAGAGGTAGAGTTGTTGGAAGACACATGCTCCTCAGGAGCCATTACTATGTAAATTACACTTTATATAATTTCTTGCACATAAATTATTGCAATGGTAGCAAGTAAGCTATCACAACTGAAATTTCCTAAAAATAAATAAATGTGCCTGTTCTGAGTGACAGCCTTATCTCCAAAGTAGATTAATGGTCTTTTCTTGAGATGGAATATAATGGGCCTGCATGTAACATGTTCCCTTAACAGATTTGTCTTTTATCAAATATATTAAAACAATTTACAGAAAATACTGTGTGCACTGAAGAGAATTAAATTTTGCAGATCATTTGGTTTGCTGTCGTCGTGTCAACCTTCTGTTAAATTTTATAATTTGTTCCTTTCAGGAATCTTTTAAAAATTTAATATTACAAGCACTTGTAAAGTCAGCACAAACCTTGCAACTTGATATTTTAATTCATATGTTGCTTAGGATATAATGTTTTTAAGTGGTATTTGGTCAGCTCAGAACAACTTAAAGCATAGGATTTGTGAAGGATTGTTTGTAGCTAACATGACTTGTTTTAAAAGTATTTGACTCTTTGAGGCTGTTTGTCTACCATTTGTAAATTATTGTATGTTTAAGTTTTGATCTATAAAATATAAGGTGACAAGGATATTGTAGGATCATGTGTAAATTATGTTGAAGTGTATGAAATAATCTTTTTTGTAAAGTGTAAATATTTTGGGTTCTAAAGTTTAAAGTCAAAGTCCATAAATATTATAAATTTCTTAGTTTTAGAGGACATTGGAATATTTTAGAAATAGTATATTTTCATTACAAGAGAAATGGAGCACATTAATACAATAAATAGTATACTAAGAAATTTGCACTACTTCTTCAGGGATAGACTGAAGTACTAGTAAGTTCAGCTCGCTAACGCATGATTTATTTCCACTTGCTACCCATCCTCTAAATTTCACTCTCTTGTGATCCTTTATCTTCTGTATTTCATTGTACATAGATGGCTTATTTCCCTCAAGGAAAAGTAATCTGAGAAATGAAATGCATAACTTGAATTACAAGGAGACTCATTCTAAATGGAAGAGTATAAATCTCCACAACTGAAAACTATGCAGACTTTAATGTAATTGCCTTTTGTTTGCTTGCAAGTTATTAACATCTCATTTTTCATTGCAACTGTACAACATTTTGCTGGTTGTATATCCAAAAAAGTGTGTGTTTCATTTTGTCTTGTGTGGATGAATTGATACTTCGCTTGTTTTTCCTATGTAAAACACTACACATTCAACTGTTCTGTTTTTTTGGGGGTGGTGGGCAGAAGTAATGTAAAACAGATCTAAATACTTTTGCCTTGTTACGTACAGACTGTCGGTTATGTAGTTATCTACAGGGCCACCTACAGACACAGGTGATGCTGTGTCTTGGTTGGTAGAACTTAATGATCTTTGGAAAAGTGTAACTTGGTGAAAGATCACTTGATTTTTTTAAAAAACAAACACCTGCTTAAGTCATATGAAATAAAAAGATGAACACATACATGCCTCTTGCTTGGTAACTTACAGTCCAGTTCTTCTGGTTGTTTGGAAATAGGCCCCATGGGTTTCACCCAGACCTACTCCCAAGTAAGTATGCACAACTCTGCAGCCATGATGTAAAAAGCCTGTATAATTCAACGGTACTACGGAGACCTCATCCCGTTGTAAAGTCATTGTGGAGTAGGTTCAGTTTACTGAAGGACCTGTTATACAGCAGCTTATAAAACCAATGCTCTGCTTCAGGATTTGCTGCTTTCCCTTTGTGTATCTCCTAGCTTTCCTTATGTAGTCATCCCTGATGGCTTACAGTTCGTTAAAAATCAGGCGATACTTACGGTAAAACTTGATGCTCTTGAGAAAGGGATTCCTCATCTTGCTGTTTTGCAAACATCCTCTAAAGCCGTTATTTATCTGTCAGTGAGCTACTGTTAGACTCTGATGGGTGTTTTGATTACCACTCAAATATTGCCTTGCAATTCGTACTTTTAGAGCTAGGCTTACAGCTACCTTACAAAGAAACCCAACACTTTTTCTTGTAATGTTAATAGGCACACCGACATGTAATTTCAACTATTATTTTGATGTTGCTGCTGAAAATAGTAATTATTACTATTATTAAAAGTAGTAGTAATCATATTTATTATACTGGTCACTCCCAATTTGGTAAGCTGTTTACATCAGAGAGTACAGGTGCTATTACAAGATACGCTAAGAAAGGGTCATATGAGATGGGTTTCTAAGTGCCTAAATTTATTCCTAAGATGCAGCCCTCCCCAACCATACATTAAAATCAGCACATGTGACTAGTCGCTTGCATGTATTGCGTTTCATGAACTTCTAGCATATCAGTTTCCTTTCAAGACTCTGCCACACAAAGATGTTGCAGACAGTAATGTTTTTATGAACAATGCTAGTGAGGAGAACATTACTAGATGCTGTATTTTTATTCTGTGCCCAGATACAATAGCATGGTGTGGGCTACCGTCAGCTTGACTCTGGGAGATACTTGAGGCCCTGAAAACCACAAGAAGACGGTGTTTTTTTCTCCTGCTCTGGTCACCTGCCAGTCCAAATGGGTGGTGGGGGGAAGAGAGAAATGATTCTTTCTTCAGGACTGTTTCTCTTGCCCACCTCTAACTTTTGTTTTAGTGCAGTACTGAATTAGGCCCCTTGTCACTTGTTAGCTTAGAAAACATGACTTCTTCCTTCACCCCATGCCCCTTCCTTCTAAAACGCAGCCTGTAGTGGCCACAACCTAAAAGCAATATGGTCTGGCTTGCTCATTAGCAAGGTATTGATTAAACCCCATACAATCAATTGACACTTGGTCCATTTGAAGGCATGCTTGGACAGAAAGGAAGACCTGCATGCAGGCTGAGGAATCCTGGGTGTTCGAGCAGTTCTCTTCTTTCTAAACATGCACAATAATTGCACCCTCCGGAATTAACACCTTTTCCCCCTGCTTCTGTGTTTTCTACGGTGTACTTTAGCTAATTTTGAGCTGCCTTCAGCATCATGCTATGCAATGGAAAGGCATTGTATAAATGGATTAAATACTTTGGTCTGATTTTCCTGAAAGGACTTATAACTGATGGTATGCTAGCTAATGAGCAGTTATTGGTGTATACTGGTGCAATGGGCCACATGAGTGCAAGCTGTGTTTTTGAGCCCATACTGTCCTGTGAAGTTGGGGAAGTGCAGAGGAGTGACAGGAAAGGCCATTTCCTCATCACAATTCATATTTATTGTGGTGATGAAAGCTGTTGCCTGATTAAAGAAACCTCTTAATAAAATTTGTTGTAAACCCATTAAATCTGTGATCTCTCACTTAAGTCAGGATGGTTTTGAAGAAAGTATTTCAGTTTGTTGTGTCTGTTGCAGCAAGCATCCCCTTAGAGGCATCCTGCCCTCCATGAGAATGAGTTTTGTCTACAGATTATTGGGGGGGGGGGTGAGTTACTATATTAAACCTTTATTTTTCCTTGTTTGTGCATGACATCTGTACTTTACAAGTCGTTCGAAGCAGCTGGTTCTCCCAACTACCTTAGAGCTGCACTGAGAGAGAGGCTGGTCTACACCTACCTCCTAAATAGAATATATTCTTTATCAAGAGGCAATCTGCCCATGCACCCCAGCCGCAGGGGAACATGGACAGGAGGGCAACTTGTGATCCTCCTGCCCTGCTTGTTTCTTGTGGGCAGCTGGCTGGCCTCTCTAGGGGCAAAGGGCTGCATTCAATGGCCCCTTGCTCTGATGCAGCAGCGCTGCTTGCCGCCACCTGCTTACTTCAGAGTAACGGTGCAGCCCGGCTCGCTACAGGTGTCCAAGGAAGCTCCCTTTCAACTGCTCGGCGCTGATGCACGGATGCTAGTCCTCATGGTGCCGCGCCTCCTCCAGAAAAGGAGGCAGCGCGCACGGGCACCCCCGCTGCTGGGGAACATGGGCAGGAGGGCCGGAGCGGGCCGAGCCCCCGCCGGGCGCTTCAGGGCGGACCGGCGGCGGCGGCCGAGGCCGCCTCCCGTGCGCGCAGGCCGCGCTTGGCTCCGCCCGGCCCGGCCCTCTTCCTCCGAGGGCGCCGCCGCCGCCACCGCCGCCGCTGCTCCTGCGCGGCCGCGGAGGCCGCTGGGAAGGGAATGGGTCCGTCCTCTCAGACTTAGATCGGAAGAGCGTCGTGTACAGCTGCTGCCGGCAGGGACGCCGCCGGGCCGGGCGGAGCCA